AGTTATGTGGACTTTTTCCCTTGTGAGATTGTGACGATCGTTAGCCCCTCGTCTTTCGCTCTGACGATAGGCCAACGCTCGTAACGTCAGCTTTCGAAACTCTGTACGGTTGTTAATATACATTATTATCCTTAATTGCAACTCGATAGAACCAAATTATCTTGCTATATACCTTCCCTACTGACGCAGCAAGAAATCTGCTCTGTTTTCTCACGAGGATGTTGGTTTGCATTCAAATTAAAGACGTTGTTTGTTCGAAATTTCAGATGATACGACTTCCAGTTTACAGACATGCGAGAAGGTTTTTACTGTCATTGGTACGTTATATTGTACAGATAAATTCCTTTACACTGTAAAGTAGAGGAATTTTCCTCTTCCTATTCCTCTTTGAAACGTATATTAAGTAGGACAAAGACAGTACATTTTAAGCGTTATGTGCACGGTGGGGAAAGACTTCGTTGATGAAGAGGAAATGTGAAGTCTGTCTTCACGTGTGTTGTGATCCAGAACACCTCACAATAACGTGAACTGGTCGTTCCCGGCAACGCCTCTCCCATTATCGATATGAAATGATCACATCTTTGTAACTTCAAGTTGTTTTTTTTTTTTTCCTTTTTTTGTTTTGAAGGTTGTGTTTGGTACCACGGTGCTACTCATGATGTATCTTCCTGTCCGACTCATTAAATGGCTGTTTCCAAGTTTCTTGCCGTACAACGTACAGTTGTCAAGGTCAGATGAAGCCATTTATTCACCCTTCACAAAACGTGCGTCCTCAACAATTTAGCTCAGAGACGCACAACCTTTTAAGTCGGTGCCCATCTATTTTATCGATAACTATTTTCTTAAATTTCTCCATTTTGTCTTTGCCGATGAAATGGTTTGTTCAGCATTTTTCCTCGTTGTTTAAGGTATCTAGAGGTTTTCCCCTTTGCAAGGTCGCCTTCTTCCATCTTTGTCAGTTTGCCCCACCCCCTGAAATAAAACAAGTTCATCGCCATCTTCACCAGTTCGCCCCCAAATCTTTTTACTCTTTTCCCTACGACGGAACATATTCCTTACGTGGTTTGCGGAGCCAACTTCTCCTTAAAATGATTTTCCATGTTCTGTCTCTCTTTTCAGTGAGGTTCCAGTAAGCGAGTTATCCCTCGAGTTCCTGCTGCTCCAAGTTGTGTTACCAGCGTTGTTGGAACAAGGTCATACTAGACAATGGCTGAAAAATGTCATGCGTGGCTGGGCTGTGGCTGCGGCATTCGTCCTGTGAGTATTTTTAACCCTTTACAACCTAGCATCAGTATTCACATTCTCCATACTGTTCTCTATACATTTGTTAAGGTGCTGACAAGGAGAATTTGTTTGAAAATCAAGATCTTCTTGAGTTGGTGATTGATCATTTTCTTTATTCTCTTGACCTTAATGTTTGATTCAGGGGTGAAACTGAAAGGAGAAATTAGATGCTGTTCACTCGGTAAGGGTGAAAGGTTTATGAGTCGCCTCCAGTGCTTATTTCAAGTTAACATTTCTTCGGTTTGTCTGGTCCAAGGGAGTTGCTACAACTACTGTACATCAGAGTTTATATCCATGTTCTTTCAATGCCAGGTGGTGTTAAAAATTAAAAAAAGCAACAACAACAACAACAACAAAAATGCAACAAAAACAGACTCAATGAGACAATCTTTTGCTCTTTTTCTAGAAATCTTCGATCGTATCTGTTGGGTGATGTGCCTTTGGATGGAGCAGAAAATGTAAGTTTTTATCGATTACAAAGAACTTTAGTAAAATGTTCACTAGAATCGACGATTAAGATTGTTTTATTTCAGTTTAACTGCTTTTTGCTTTGTTGGCCAAATTGTAAACCTCGGCGCGCGAAGACAAAAATCTTAATTGACTGTCGTGCTTGAGAGCGCTTCTCGATAGAGTGTCGTATAAGCAAAACCAAAGTAACCACAAAGACCAATCAGGAGAAAGGAAGATATCGTTAAGAGCCAATGAGAACTCGAAATATAACGACCGAACTGCCTAAAGCGCGGGAAAACGCGGGAAACTTGGTCGTGATTTGTTTTAGTTTTGCATCTGATTGGTTGAGAGGTTAGCGCGAGTTTCCTAAACCAGTCAAAGTAACGTTAAGTAAAACTAAAGCAATCCCGGACGGGATTGCTTTCGCCACTCAATTAAATATTGCTCTAATGCGTTATCGGCGAAGATGGTACTCGAAGGAGCGCCGGAAATCGAACTAAAATAACTTTAATATCGAAAGATCCTCACAGTGTAGTTTGTTGAGCAATTAATTTAAATGTGGAAAAACCACTCTGACAGTTGTTGACTTTTTACCCTCTAGGTGTATGGTTTGCATTTAAGTTACCGTGTTGATCAGAGGAATGCTGGGAATGGTCCTCAAGTAAACGCTGCTGGTCAGAATGCAGTGCAGGCTCAGCCAGCTGCTGGTAATGCCGTGGGGGGCGGTGGAGCCGCTCTCGGTTTTCAGCCGTATATCAGACCACGCATGTTTGCTTTCAAGGTAATAACTTCTCATTCTTCCTTCGCCCACCCTACCCCTCCCACACACGGAAATGTTTTATTTCGTAAGTATACCATCTAGATCCAGAATAGTGGCTTCCCAACGTCGGACAAATAATGACGTTTGACAAATAATGTATTCAAAATCGACTTTTTTATCGCCTTCAATTAGTAATTCGTGTTTGTTTGTGCTTAACATCGCCCGCCTAGATTAGCTCGCTATTTGCAGGCGGTGTTTATTGTAAGTAATTGTTTTGGAAGACCTAATAAACTTGAAACTTGAAACTTGTCGGAGAATGAAAGAAAATTGATATACATTAGTTATGACCCTGGGAGAAAGAAAACAAACAAACTTATTATTTGACTCCCATTGGTGACCAAGACAGAATTTCTCCTTACAATATCAATACAGTATCAAGCAGACAAGTGATGAGAATAAAGAAAAATATCAATTAGGGGATTATTAGTTGATCCAATACCAAATTCTCCGATCTTACACTATAAGAATTGTATGACAGACAGCAAGAAGAATTGCTAATCAAACCTGGAAGTGGAACAGTTGAATAAAGATTGTTGGTAATTTTTTCGCTCGGAAGTGGAAGAGAAGATAAAAGTTGTCACGAGCGTGGGTTAAAGAAAACAAATCAAAGTTAAGGGTGTCTGTATAAAAGTTGAAAGACATCTCTTCGAAACTCTCTTTGATTCAAACGATTGACTTGTAACTTCTCATTGTGATTCTAATATATTATATAGCAAATAGGTTATACGAAAAGGAAAGCTTATCAGTAAGAGGATATTGTCGTGATTTAAAACGGACTTCTGTCTAATATACAAGGAATCATATGGTATTCAGTCAGGAGTTCTCAGTGGCTCATTGGTTTTTCTTCTCTCTTAGATATTGTTGCTTGTCATGCTGATGTGTGTCTCGCTGTCTTTTGCAAGTTTTGTGACTTTAACAGGACCTGGTGAGTTACAGAAAGCCTTCTACCCTCCAACCTTCGTACAATGAATTTGTCTGTTTCTACGAGTACCAAATTCGCAGAATGAAGTTCAGTCTTCCTGGGTTGAAAATGAATAATAAGCATTACACTTAATTCTGCAAAGTGGAATGAACCAATCAGAGCGTATTTCTAACATGTGCAAACGGTGCCAGGGGCGGGAAAGCCGTAGTTGTCATGGTTTGCCAACCACCTGATTGGCTACAAACGCGGTCGGTTTGATTCCCATTTGCAATTGTCATGTAAGCCTTATACAGTTCTGTGTCCATACTTTGCGATGCGCAAAAATACCGTGGAGTAAAAGTTTGCTTGGGCATAATAGTAAATGAATGAATGAATGATTGAATGAAGTGCATATATTCTAAGTGATGAACCTGACTGATTAAATGCAGTTAAAGCCATAGCAACAAGTAAAATCGCGAAAGGAGATAGAGGTTGTACCCGTTCTTCACCTTAACACTCAGATTCAGACAAATGAAAAAACTAAAGCTGCGATCGTTTTGTTTAGTGTTTATTGGCCGAAGCGTGATGCTACTATGGATGGGTGATGCAACTGTGCACGAGCTGTATACAGCAGCATGTGGTTTGTATATTATGTGGCTTGTTTGCCGAATTGGCAGTGTACTCGCCTCCTGGATACCTCTTGGCTGGAAGGGTGTGGCCATGAAATTCTTCGAGTGGTTTCTCCTGGTGAGTTCCTGGTGGATTTATGGTCCTGTTGTGAATGGAAAAACCTTTGAATTTTTTTGACAGGGCTCGTTCAGACTCTTAAAATCTTGTCACGACGTACCGATTGGAAACTGTTTATCAAGACCGGAATAAACTATTGAAAGTAAAAGTTGAATCGTTAACAGAAAGAAAACTGTGTAGAGTTTTAGAAGGGTCAAGACTATTTCTAGATTATAACAAGCTTGATGGTTGGTTGAAATCCCTGGGACGTGAAGAGAAAGGAATTACTTTTTTCGTATTTTTTGGTCTGTTTCAAGGGAAGCTTAGACAACCGCTTTTCTGCGTATGCCATGGAATTATATACTGAACACTGAGTCTGGAACATATCAATTGTACGCACAAAAAGTGTCTACGAACCATGTTCTGATGTATGAAAGCTAGCCAGTAGCTCTGACTCGCTTTGACAAAGGGCTTACGCTCTAAACGTTAGGTTTAACAACTACTGATGGTGGCCAATTTACAAATTAACCGGTAGCTTACACCTCGACTTATCTTGTCTCTAGGTGAATTAAACTCTTTTATTTCCCTGTAGCTTCATAAAGCTGCCTGTAATTAATTGACCTTCTTTGTTATTATTTTCAGGGTCTCAAGTGTGTTATCGTGGCCCTTGCTCTTATTGGCTTGGTACCTTTATTGCTGGGCCTTCTGTTTGAGCTCGTTGTAGTAGCGCCTCTGCGAGTCCCACTCGATCAGACCCCTTTGTTTTTTCCTTGGCAGGTAAAAGAACGCCAATCCTGTCATGCTTTTCTCAGCCTTAGTCTCTAGAGCAATTTACAGACTGCCTTATCTTTGTTTCTATAACAGGACTGGGCATTGGGTGTACTCCACATGAAGATTATATGCGCTGTTACCATGATGGGTCCAAACTGGTGGCTCAAAAGAGCTTTAGAACAGGTAACACACACTAGTTTGATCCATCAACCAGCAAAGGCTGCCTGGTCTCATCTAATTGAAGTGCTTGTCGAGTAGTTTAGTGTTGTTCTGATTATAGTTCCTGCAGAAGCTAGTGACGTTGCGCCGCTAGAGCACAATGCGTGACGTGGGCAGTATTTTGTGACGATAATCAATGGATGATCGTTCGGGCGGCTGAGAAGAAGCCAAGACGGAGATCTAATTCTTTAAGTCGGTTATCGGTATCTATTCCAAAAATTTACTTTTAAATTTACGCTTATTGCAAAGCATTGGTCCTGAGCCATCTCAGGCTTAGTTGTACATTAAGTAATAATCAATGGGCGAATTATTTCTCTTTGTGAACGGGAGAAACTTCGTTAAGTCAATTTTCACTTCATGACATCAATGTTAGGTTTACCTCTACGCTCTAAACCTGTATTTTGTTGAGATAAATCAGTAATTTTACTTCAATTGTCCAGGTTTATCAAGATGGTGTTCGGAACATAAATGTGATGTTTGTATTTCGACACGTGACCTTACCCGTTGTAAGTTGTCTCCTATTGGCTGTTTCATTCCCCTACGTCACTGCTGCCGGAGTTGTACCCATATTTGGTAAGTATGTGGTAGGATTATTTTTTTACGTCTGGTTTAATTTAACCTCGGTATTTCAACCATGTGGGCTGCTGAAGAGTTACGACGATTCCTTTTACAGATTTACGGTAAAATTTCAGATTTAGATCTAGATATCCCATCCGTTCGTAAATGCCTTAGAAAAAGAAAGCCTTTATTCTCAACCCTGTTTCTTCCTATTTAAGCGAGTTCGTGTGTAAAGGTATTTACTGAAAATTATCTCCACTTAGCTAGTAAACAGCGCGGTGGTAGCCGCGGAGCCAAAGCGCGGGAGGCTTAGGTCGAGTCACGTTCTCCACGTGACTCGACCCAAACCTCCCGCGGTATACTGTTGCGCTTCGTTGTACTAAATGAACGCCCACCTGGAACAGGCTTTCTCCACTTTCGTCGGAGATAATTCTCCAATCAGAACAGTACAAGCTTGCACCAGTTTTACAACTCCTTCCCAACACAACAGTACTCGTACTTGATTGATTATTGTTGCCATTCTGTACAGTGCGATCACCTGACACTCGCTTGTTCTGTCTCCGCCGTATTTACCCGTTCCTGTTGGCCATGTTCGTCCTGATTGCGGGCTTTATATTCCAAGGACGTCAATTCCGTCTTTTGTACGAACGAATCAGGAATGATAAGTAAGTTGTTGTAAGGTCCTCTTCTCTCGTCGTCAGATTTTACTATAGATTCGTCACATTTCTACCTCGTTCAGAAATCGATATCTCCAAATTTCTCCACGTTTTTAAAAAATTACGCGAATGCCGAAGTGCTTCTTTTCTAAGTATGCTCTCTGAAAAACAGAAAACGACAGAGAGACTCAAGGGCACGAAAGTAGACAGACACTAATTGGCTGACAGACAGACAGACCGGCGCACTGACCGACTTGCTACAGGCTAATATTGATGGTCTGACCGACCTTTTAACCGAATGAATGAAGGACCAAACGAACAAACAACCGATCGAATGTTTAACTTACCAACGGACCAGGAAGCTGGGGTCCAGGGTAGCTATGCGAACGCGCGAAAGGAACTCATGCATGTTCGGTTCGCCCGCCTGTTTGAATCTCGCAGGCCTGATCAAAAGCGGTTTTCGTTTTTCATCTTCCTTTTGTATCCAAATTGATAAATGGGAAAAATAGACCTCTTGAATCACGCTATTTAAAACCGTTGGGAGTAACTTAGATTAGGTACAAAAGTTATGTACTTGTCTGATTTCTTTCAGGTATCTTGTTGGCCAGAAACTGGTCAACTACGAACATGGTAAACGCCCTACTAAGGTTCCTACCAAAGCAATGGCTGATACCGAGTGAATTCTAATCTTTATGAGGTGTTCACGGTTTGCTCGGAGTCATGGATAGCAACAGTCACACAACACAGGAAATTTCATAAGCATTGCGTGACAACCGTCGCGCAAATAGGCGGTCCATTCACAGGGAAAAAATTGTGAACATACACGATAGCGTACTTTTAAAATGGCACCACTCTATGTAGAATTCAGTGTTTGTGTTTGCCATCGGTCTGCTAAAGGGAAATTATGTGAGCTCGTTATTTCGTTATTTATTAATTTCCCAAAATGTGTGCGATCAATCGTTGGGAAACAGAACGTGAGTGTAACTGTAAGAGAGAGCGTTACATGTTACATGTGTAGTAGTTTTATTATTACTCACAATTATAAAATTTATAAATGATGTAAAAAGTCAACAAGTTTACCAGGGGCTAATTAATTTCTTTTGAGAAAATTTTCAGTTCTATAGGAATATAACAAGTGCATTTGTATTTTGAGTTTAACAAGGTAGCCTTTCTCAGGAGTACAGTTTAACAGCAGAACGGAGCGAGACGGTTGACGGCGCGACCCGACCCGACCGCTACTGTCACGCTTCGTTTTACTTACTCTGAACGCCCAGAACAGGCTATTAACAAGGCGACCTTATCTTGCAAGTGGAAAATTATTTAGATTTATTTACAAGGTTTTAAAAAAAATCGGTGCGTTTCGTTAGTTAGTGACGTGATAAGGCCAGATGCTTGAATCATTTGTGTACATTTTTGTGTCGTATCGAGGTACAAGGAGCATTCGCGCGAGGAAAGTGACTGTCGACCTTTGCAGAACTAGCATTACGTAAAGCCGTACCCTCTCCCCGAGAAGAAATGTTTCTCCTCGTGGGGAGGGTACAGCTACACGAAGGCTATGGCGAAATGAGAGTTGATTTCCAGCGAGGCGGGTAATCATTGCGGGATAAGGAGGCATCTTTGGAAAGCACGACACTTGAAGGAATCACTCCTGTTGATTCTAAGATATTTGAAATACCTTTGTCATTCCTGTGGCTTTTATTTTAAGAAGTCTTGCATTTGTGGATTTAATCTGTCGACTAAATTGTTAGCTTATGAATACTTCATGAAGAGAGAGATTAACTGTAAATAGAAGTCTATAGGGTTATTATTATTATTATTTTGGTAGAGCTTTGAATATTTCCAGGGATAGGAGAGCTTAGAAATGAGCTCATAATAAACTGTTTATAACTCACCAACGAACACGATGTGTAGCTTGTAACTGGGAAGAAGACTTTTTTTTTTCACCATTTTTTCTTTCTGTATTTCCAAAATTATGTAAAATGCATGAATGTTGTTGAAGCGTGTTTTGATTTTAATATTTACACCCAATATTTTTACTCGTGAAAATAATTTAAACCGTGGCTGAATTGTTAAAGCTTGTTTTAAGACATCAGTTACCTAAAAATGATGTTTCCAACCTTTAGCTTGCCAAAATTATCTCATTGGATTTTTCCAGGATTTTTCATGGATTTGTCATTGATCTCCAATAAAATTATTGAATGAATGGGGATTACCCGTGATGCAAATATAAAATTTTCTAATATACCGGCTATTTTTAACTACGCTATTATCACTTAGACCAAAACTTTAACGGAGAATTTCAGTTACATTTGAAAGCCATTTCGGTCATGCTACTGATTCTCAGTAAACAGGTTTACGACAAAAAATTAACGGCATTTGCGATCTGTCATTTAATTATTCGATCTTCTCGATTTGTTGATATTATGGAATATACTTAAGCGAATTTTGTATTCAATATAACACTCTTGGATTACCTGAATGTTAAATATTTTATTGTTATTTAGCTTTGGTTCGAAAAACTGCACTTATAGAAAATCTCCTTGAGTAGAAACTTTATTCCAAAGATAAGAAAAAATTATGACGACTTCGACCCAACCAATTCACACGGGGTTTGCCCAACGAAATCTTGAATGTTTTGATTTTTACTGCAAATGGTTTTGTCGTGCGAGGGTCGCCCAGTGTCCGTGATACTGTTTACTCCGGAAAATTCGATACTTTCTTGATACGAAGATGGTGAGCTTTCGTCTTCTGATGACAGGGATCGTAAACCCCATTTTTCCAGATACAAGCGCGCTGTTTCTACATATCCAGCATTCTCCATAGCTCGTGTAATCAAAAGTAACATTTCTTCAGTCCGAGCGAGATCGACAGGTAAGCGACCTTTACAATCGACGCTAGCTAAGTTCGCACATGAATCTATGAGCAAACTGGTAATATTGCAGTGACCAGCGACTATTGCGAAATGAAGCGGCGTCCAGCCATTTTTGTCTTTTCCTTCAATATCAGCTCCGTGATCGAGAAGTAACATCACCAACGAAAGGTTACCCTCAACACAGCTTTGCTGTAAAGGAGTCAAACCGAGTTTATTATTTTCGTCAAGTGCAATCTGTTTCCCACCGTATTTTAACAAAAATTTCACCTTTGCCACGTCTCCTTCGATGATCGCTTGGTTGAAAATGACGTTTGACGTCGACGGCCACCGAGAGAGTTCTTTGCGAGCGCTTTGGCCTTCCATTTAGTTAAAAACAAACCGATTCATTTATAATAACACTCCGAATCAGCCCTGGGTCCAAAGGAAATCTTGTATAAACAAAACATATGCCCACAATCCATTTGATTTCGTAAGCATTTAACGGCGAATGACTTGGCCCCAGTTCCGGTGGATTAGATGTTACTGAAAGGTTTAGATAGTTTTGGTTTAATCCATTTACGAAAATATTTGGGAAGGAGGCATCCAGTATATCAAGAGGAAGTGAAGCGTCGAGCAAGTATCTCACTGTTGAATAGTAGATCGTTCTTACTGGACAATCTCCTTCTTCACCTGTCTTACCTCTAACGCAAACATGCCAGTTGTAAGAAAATTTTTCATTTTTGTAAGTTGACGATGTAAGAAAGAAACGTGACATCTATTATCTAACGAGTGGCTTGTGGCTGTAATTTATCTAACACAGTGGCATTAAAAATAATTCCCCTCACAATACTGTCATCTTCCACGCAGGCGTATTTTATTACATAAATTAAAATGCAGAAAACGTCTTTAGAAAATTTTCCTTTAGTTAGTTAGGGGAACCTGTAGCAATATAGACGGATCAGTCATCATATGCTCATAAATAGACTTTTTTCTGATATCAACACAGAAGCAATATCTATCGATTAGTCATGGCTTGATAATCTTAAATTTTCGAGTTTCTCATTTGCAAATAGTTTTAGCGTCACACAAACTCCAAGATGTTTCATTGTTTTTTTATCAGGTTTACTCTAACCTCGTATGTTTTCTAGCTACCTTAAAAAAGACTATTACTGTTTCCACCTGAATTCTACTCATTCGAAACAAAGAGGCAAAATGAATTTGTGACCGTTGATAGCTGCTTTATTGGCAGTCACCGGAAGAAAACCAAAGTAAATTTCCGATTGAAAATAACGAGCGAACTACTTCCAAAGAATTTTTAATGTTTCATATCCACTTTGTTTCAAGACATCTTAACAATGTCCACACTGTACACTGTTTGAGACAAAAAGGAGGAGGTGTACCAATAAAATCTAATTTTCTCTCGTGAACAACGTTCTTTCTTTCCATTGAATAAAGGGCATCTTCCTCCAAAACGTTAAAAAAAAAAGAAAAAAAAAACTATCATCATTTCAACTTGCGCAAAACAAGAAGTTTCCACATCCTTTCTTGATGTTCATCATTCTAAACATTCTTTCTTCATTTTCAAACACAACCCACAATGGCTGCTAGAGTAAAGTTCTACTGGGATCGAAGCGGATTACCGATCTATCTACACGCATAACAGTCTTACTGATCAGTCACCGGTCAAGATTAGTTGACTAAACGAGTCAAAGCTTTTCCCTGGACGATCCACAGATCACGTGCTTATTTTCTTTTAAGTGCTGATTGGTTTGGTCACTTGAATATTTAACGCTTTACTTTAGCGCGACATAACTCGCACGGTACCCTTACCAAAATGTTCACTTTAATTTTCTTTCTTTTCTTCCGCAATTTCTTCTTCCTTCTTCCCGAAGACCTTTCCCTTCAGCTTGGCGAGAAAAACTTTCAACTTGCCAATGGGACCAGTGTTTTCCTTAGGGTCTACAGCTTCAAATCTTCGCACGGACAGGTTATGAAATGAACCAAATGCAATGGCTACTACGGTGCAGGCCAAACAGATCACGTTATATGGCATACTAAAGTCAGGGGTGGGGAGGGTAATGAGCAAAACTTCTGTGTGAACACGAAGAAACACTTCCTCCACTGGAGTAGTTTCACCACTGGAAAAAAAAGAAAAAAAAAATTAAATCAGACTTGCTACAATCGAACAGGGGGCTTTGAACATTTCTTTAAAAGGAACTGAACTAGGAACTGACAAACGTCTATATGCTTTCTCATTTGGTAAGGTTCGCAACCCAATCGATTTTAGGCATTCTTGATCAGTCACAACAAAACATGGTTCATCTTAAGAAGAAAAAAAAAAGATAAATGAAGAAATGAAAATAGCACCATTATAACCTGAAGGGTTTATAGGAGGATGATTTTAAGGTTACCTTTCGAACAGGAGAGAGGAGTGACGTGATGAACCAGTGTAATTTTTTGGGCCTTGAAGTTTTGTAGAGATCACTGCGGAACTAAAACAAACCAAATACAAAAATAAGTGAGGGGCCGTTCGGTATATCAGAAACCCTCAAGACAGTTGACAGCACAGTGATTTTGTATCCGAAGCCACCATTACCTGGGGAATTTCAGACTATTGCTGGTTAGACAGAAAATCGCACTATTTCTGCATGGCTCATGCAAAATTTCTTACATGAATCTTACGAGAAACCACGACGAAATTGAACTGATTTTTTTTTTGTCATTTTCCCAGATGACTCAATCTATTTGTAAACATTTATCGCAATTTGGACGTTGATCCTAACAGTGAGCTAGACAACAGAGCGGTCAAACATCTGCGCATGAGCAAACGTTACAATGACTATAGAGAGACAGCGAATGACCTGCGTGCTTTCAGGCTGTCAGAGCCAAGTTGTCTCACGTGGCAGACGTTGAACCGTTGAAAGTTTGAGCAGGACGTTGGCTATATCTGAACCTAGCATACAGCTGAACTTAAAAACGATTTCTCAATAGCTCAGCTTGTAGATTACAGAGTATTACGAGAAAATTGGAACAGACTAGGCTTCAATTATTCACGTCCTTGTCCAACGTTCCTAACGAATGTTCCATATCGTTCCTTTCCACTTTGAGGGGCTGCACCTTGAACAGTCCTAAATAAATACACTTTTCCACAGTGACAGATGCGCAGTGAACATTACCTGATGTAGAAGCCGTGATGGGCATCTGGAGGATGTTCTGTCCATTTCAGGAATCCTTTGTGAAACTGTACGCTCAGTTCTGTTACAGAGTTTGCTGGTAAAGTCAGCAGCATCTCTACAGTATAAGGGCGCAAACGATCCTTTGCTGGAGTGACGTGGATGATATCTGCATAGAGAGCAACCATAATTTCGGTTTCAGTTTAAATTCAACTACACAACTTCAACCTCGTTCCCAGGTTCGCTCATCTTCCCGCCCTCCCGGAGCAAGAAAGAAGGAGGAAAGATGAGAGACCTTGGCACAATCATATACAAGAATTATCCGGCGGGAGGTCTGCCTGAGGTCTAGCAGTGATAATCATTAGTGCCAGACCCCCTGCAAACCACTCTCAAACTCTCGAACGAACAAATGTGCGACCTGCAAGGTTTACGGTCAAGTCGCCCGTAAGTCATCTCACCCGAAGTCATGTCACCCAGAACCTAAATCGTGTCACCCGAAAAAAAAACTCAAGTCAAGTCACTTGTAAACACACCAAAATAGCATATTTTTAGAAAGTGCCGAAGGTATCGATCGATCGAAATGGAACATATTTCTAATTCCGATCATCATGTTCACGGCGTCGTCGGAAACAAAGAGCGCTTTAGTGATAAAGATTTCTCAACTATATTGCCTATTTACAGTCTGTAGGTCCGATCTTTAAGTATTTGTTTTTTTCGGACGAACTGACTTTTTTTTTTTTTCGGGTGACATGGCTAAAAATTTCGGGCGAGAGAACATCCGGAGGACTTGACCTGTACCCGTCCTGCAGCGCTAATAATGATGATGACCTACTCGCAAGCTAGAAATCGTGTCAAATGATCATACGGGTGAAATGATAGATTCATCGTTAAGTAACCTAGACAAAAGTTTAGTCAGTAAGTCAATTTATCAGTCAACCAGAGGACTGAATGCCAACCAATCAGCCAATCAATAGATCCACCAATCATAAGAGAACATTGGAAGTAGGTAGCATCTTTACCAGGCTTAATTTCTTTGCCAGCACTTTTGATGGTTAGTGTGTGAAGAAAGATCCTGAGGTACCAAGGGAAGGTAGCAAAGTAAACAACTGGCAGGGGATCTGTGGGGTGACAGTTGTGTAACATGGATGTAATACCACCTTTGTCTTCACCATACCCTTAAAAAGAACAACATAATTGTATATGAAATAAGAGATTAAAATCCTAATTAAATAAGAGAGAGAAGCCTTTTTAAAATTTACCTGTAGTAAACCATGAACACGTGGAATATTACAGGAATGTTTACCGTATCATGACCAGTCACATTTGCAGATTTAGATGATTGAGAAGACCATCAATCCACAAAATAATTAATGATACTGCTTATCATTTATTATCACAGCTCTTAGTTAGCATGGATGCTATGATTGGTCAATTTAGTGGGCCACTAAATTCATAAGTTTGTTTGAACTGAAATCTCCCCTCTATTAATATCTATGAACCATAAGATGTAACAGATAAATTATTTTACCAACCCCTCCATACTGTAAGTTACAGAATCTTGTTTTTTCTGCTTGGATTTATGGCCCACATACCTTGCACTTGGGTCATATTTGTCAGTGGAAAAAACTTGGTCCGTGACTTATAGTAAGGACCTTGAACTTGGTTGATGAGAGGTAATTTTTTTTAAGTTGGTGAGCAAGAGGTATGTTATCTACCATTTGGCAGAAGCAAACACAAGAATTTTCCAGCAATGTTTACAGTATTACACAATCCTCTGAGTTTCACAGTTAAAAATAAAAAAATTGTGATAGTACTGATGTTGTAGTAATATCTATATGGTATCAAATAAATTGAGCTATGTCGATGCATTGCTGACCTGTTACAAATCTTTGAGCATAAAGCTGTGGAGGAACACCTGTTTAAAAAGGTAGAGTTTTTAACATGGGAGTTACAATTTATTGAGTAGTTTGAGTGTTTGAGGGTGAGCCTGAATAAGACATCTCATCGGTAGTGTCTAGCTTTTAGACAAACTGAGTACAAGTTCAGATTGGTGTCAAACTAGGAATTGTTGTTCAAACTTGATAGATGTGGCCATTTTTAAAATTGACTTATTTTTATTATATGCACATCTTTGCCAATGTTCTACTGACCTTTAGCAGCTCTCCTCTTCCACTTGAACACCACATTAAGAGCTGAGTCAGAAACACTGGCATTGACTGAATCAAGAAAAAGTGTAATCTTTTATCCCTATCAGTTTGTAGATTCAAAATATATAACCCTTTTTAATCCTCTAATTAAAAAAAAAATTTAAATGAGAATCTACCACTATTTTCATTAACACAGGACTTTACCACTGGACTTAAATAGTTTGATTTGCTCTTTGAACAGAAAGACTGTTTAAAAAAGATTAGCCCACTTTCAAAATGTCAGGGTGTTATATACCATAACCTGTTGCAAACACTTTTTTCCTAACCATCACTGGACTAGGCAACATTGACAAATTTTATTTGCATTACAATGAAGATGTGAGGCAAAATGAATTTATTTTTCTTCTGAATGCAAATAAGTTAGTTTGTGTAGAATTTAAATAAAAATATCATTGTTCATATTTCTGTAGTTCTTGTTTGAACAAGTCCTCAAACTTTAAGACTTTTCTAAGGTACATTTTCCTTTCCCCGAACAAGTGAGTAATGCTGAGGAATCATTATTTTCTGGCTTTTCATCTTTCTTTTGTTTTCAAGATTTGGTGGGAAGAGCTTTACAAATGTTCCTTTGTGTAAGAAAAAGCCAATGAGTACTTAGCCACATTGTAAATTTGTTCTGTCTATCAAGATTAAAATTACAAGTAATTACAGAGGCATATGTTGTGGTAATGTTTTGAACTTACTAATTTGCTTCACATCATACATAGCAAAGTGGTGTTGATGATGTTCTGTCACTTGTCTCGTTACTGTAGAGAAAGCTGGGGACAATGTGAACTCTGAATCACTCTGTGGGGTGGTAAGAAAACAATTAAAACTGTTACAGAAAATTGTTACAGTCATTTTGTTGAAGAAAAACCCCACAAGTCACCCAAAGGTCAAATTTGATTTGCCTTGCTCCCAACATGTGGCTTCATAGTTCAATGGGTAGTAGTGACCAACCAGTATCTAGGTGGCATGGATTGGAATCCCATTAAAACCTGAATTCTTGTTTATGTTTTCGTTTTGTCTTGTCAGGCTTCTTTCTACAATTGCTTAAACTGCAGAACCCCTGCCAGGACCATTTCTTCCCTTGGGTTTTAAAACTATCAATTGGATAATTCAGTTTTACTGTTAGTTTATCTCATGCTCTTCATCAAGTTTGAATCCACAGTGTACATTATGTATGTTACATGTATGATTGTAAGACCTCTTTTTAATGAACAATTCACATGTTACATCCAACCTTGTTACTGCTGATATCAACATAAACACGACTGGTAGTAGCCAGAGGACATGCAGACTTGATGGAACGACCAAAAAGCTTCTTGAAGGACCAATCTAAACACAAAGTTAATGAATAAATGAATTATTGTTAATTATTACACGACTCGGGAAGTCAGAGGGCCAATAACTAAAATCAACCAATCAAAATGCTCTATTACCAGTCAATATTCTCTCAGTATTGGACTGGGCACTGTCCCGAATGGTCTCGAATGATACCGCACTCGTGTCCCTTTGAACTTCAGTTGTGTAATAAATCCCTTATTAACCAAGCTCGCTTGGGACCGTACAGGAAGAATGTCGGCCCTCGGTCTTTTTTGTACGGACCTCGCTGCACTTGATCCGTACTGTCAAGACCTCAGGCCAATATTCTCCCAGTACGGCCCTCGCACTTGGTTAATAAGATATATATAGTTTTTTACATAAGCATAGTTTGGAAATATTCAGACGTTTGACCTCTGCCAGTGGCTTCTTTTGAGGTCACTGTTAATAATGCTTTTACAGTCTAGTTTTTGGACAGTAAATAGTAATTTTACTTTCCTATTCATCATATCTTGCTTTTTCTATTTTTTCACACTTTTTGTTTACATTAATAGTACTCTTGAGAGTGACTGGTATCTAGTTCCTGTCTGAGAGCCCTGAGGCCTGTTTCTTGAAAGTCTTGGTAACTTAACGGGCCAGAAGCCATGTTTTAATATCAAAATTTAAAAGGATAGGAACGCAGGTTCTGGCACCCAAAGCAGTCCTTTTTGTTTCTTTAACTGAAAGTTTTATTGTATCATTTTCAAAACTTTTGAAATCCCTATCTTGAATGAAAAAAGAACAGCTTTATGGGCCCATTAAGTTACTGGGACCTTTAAGAAATGGGCTACTGCAACCAGTATCAAGTGATTAAACTTTTATCTGAAAAACCCAAAATTTGGTCTTAATGCTTGTTGGCTTTTCCTCTGTATGAACTATTCATAGGACTTTTTGGAGGAACTGGTTTTTGGCGCTAGCTCACCTTGAATGCTAACCTTCCCATTCATTTAAAACTCTTTCTAGGAATAAAATGCATAATGTGTAATCCTTTCTCATTTTGTGTTTGTGACTGTACAGGAGTTTGTATAACTAACCATATTTGGATCCCCCTCTAAGGAGTGGGTCTAGCACCATGGAAACTGATTGCACTAATTCCACAGAGTATTGTGAACAGCTTGTATCCTGAAAATAGCGATAAATGAATCATTCCATCCTTAATCAACCAAACACAGTTTGTACAGGCTAACAGCGTGCGTCTTTTTGCACTCCACTAATTTTATGTCACACTTGACAAACAGTTTTTATGTAAAAAGCAACAGACTAAGCTGAGCATTCTTCAATGGGTATTAAGAGAACAAATCAACAGCTTGCTAATCATTCACCTTCAGTTTGGGATCTACAATTTTACTTGCATCCTGCCAGTATGCCACATTAAAAGAAAACATCGCCTTGATATTGGTTGTAAAAATTGGTCCACTCTAACAAGTGGACAAGTGTTATATTTTATACCAGTAATTCAAAAGTTACTACAATTATGAAACTGAAGGAATTAAATCTAGCTTCCATTGGATGCAAATGTTCCCCAAATAACTTTCTCTGCAGTTTTCAATACAGCTGCACAACCTCCAAAGTCACAAGTTACCTAAAACATGCCTTAAAATTGACTTCCATAAATTAGTGGTTAACAGATTTGTCAATGAAAGTTCAATTTACCTGGCATATTGGTCTCAAATGAACTGCTAGGGAATGATAATTAACACTATACAGCAGCAAGGTGTAAAATAGCGTAGTTAGACCAGCCTAAAAAAAAAAACAGAAGTACTGTCATCAATTATGTTTCCTTTTTTTCTCAGACAGTGCACAGAAATGGAAGGGTAAAACCAAGATAAGAAATTGGGGACAAATGATCATTTTGCATGACCAGCACAAAACACTGGAGTGAGGAGCATGTTTTATTAGCACAAAAGAGTTGCCACCCTCACTTTTGGTGGATGTATACAAACTCAAAAAGTTGAAAGAGTAGCTATTTCAAAAATTTTCTCAAGGGGGGAGTTTTTTTTTTTTTTTCAAATAATAACAAATCATGACTCTTTCAACCATGACATTTTAACTTTTGTGTCTTGGGCAATATTTTCTGTTCCCGAGAAGACTTTCAGAAACATAACAGCATATACAAAGCATAAAACAAATTTATGAGAACATAAATCACGTCACACTGTAATACCTTTGAGTCACATGGTAACAGTTTTTTCCATGGTGTGAGGTTCTCAGTACAAACTAACTCTCTGGGCAAAGCTGCTTGTCTCAATAATGAAGAGTTTGTACCAGAAGTGGAGGTAACACCTTCCCTTCTAAAGGAAAGTTTGGGGCTTGTGGTTGTCTTACTGTCTATGAAATTCAGGGAAGCGCAAAATTGGCCTGACAATGCCTGGGTGAGTCCTGACCAGTTCTCATCCACGCTGCAAACAAGAGCAGAGAAAATCAAGGTTTTCTCAATATTGATCACTCTTAATAATCATGACAATGTTTTTCCTGCATAAATATTATCAAAAGATACACAAGTACACTGTACACAATGAAAGTTTAATTCAAAATAAGCTTCATGATCTTAAATCTCTCTTAGGGATTTTAAACATATTGAACAGAAGAAAATGTAGACTGAGGTAGCAGACTGAGGTATTTTTTAAAGTTGAAGCCACACATTTCCAATTAACATCACAAGAAAAATAATTTTCTCAAATTTCTGGCTCAACAAAAAGTCAGAGAATTTTGAGGTACACTCAAATAAAGTAAAATAAAACTCTAACAAAAAGTAATTTTAGGGCAATGTAACTGATTCAATAATTTTCCACTCAACCTTCCAAGCAAAAACAAATAACATTGATTTAGCTTTTAGTCTGCTAGCAATCAATTAATCAGAAGTAAACCTACAATGTGTAAAAGTATTCTCAACTTAGTTCCCTTAAATTTTCCAACAGTAAAATAAATTTCCATGTATTTATTTTCTGTTCTAATTTTCTCCTGATCAGCCATTTTTCTGTTTCAAAGCACACTGTTCTTAAAAAGCTCCTAACTTTTACCTGTATTTTACCTGTAAATTACCTAAATTGTACCTTTTTACCTTTAAATTTTACATAAATTTTACCTGCCCTTCACTCTATCCTGGAACCACACCCATAACTCTGCTCCAGGGGGGGCTGAAGTGACAGGGTACCCCCACTGTTCGTGCTGCCACTGTCCTTGGGTGAGACTCAGATGAAGTTCTTGTACTGAGTACTGATTAACAATCTGCCCAAAGGATTTTGGAAACAGTCTGTAGTGGGAGACTATAAACACAAAAAAAAACAACAATAATAATAAAACAGACATGTGATATCAAGACTAATCATCACAGATAACACTGTAGTGTATTGAGAACTAGTAAAAGTACTTGTACTAATGGTATTGATGTTACTGTAAGATTACTGAATGATGTGAAAGTATTGTTATCAAGAAAGACTATTGTACCAGCTTATAAGATAATTGATCAATGAATAAAGATAGAATACAATAAGCAACTGAAGAGTGTGTGTCTCTACTAAATTAATACACAACGAACACCTACTAACAAAATTGTTTTTCACATCTATTTGGCTTGGCTCTAGTTGCTGTCCAACACCAAAGTGGGATCAATTGTGATAATTGGCTTAAGCATAAAAATTCAAAACCAATTACCGCTAATCTTAAACAGACTTATGAAAACACGGACAGTGGGATATGAAACATCCTTATTGGTCTGAGCACCCAAACACACTCCAAGTGAAATTTTGACCAATGATCAAATGGCTTCTCTTTAATCTAGACGAGAAAACCATAGGTCAAAAAGAAAACGATTGTTTTTCTTTTCAATACCGCGATAAAACAAACCATTCCAACTTTCTGCCGAATAGAATAATTTTTTAACTAATTTAGTTCAGCCGACTGAAAGTTGACAATTACAGGATTTTGTGTCCCTGACATCCACATCCCAAACTATGGTGAACTGAAAGTGTGCATAAATGTGGCCAGTTTTCAACGGTCTCAGTAGTAGTTCTTCGTGGAAAACATCTCTCACTGCGAGAGAAATAGGGCAGAAAAGAAAGAAAACTATTAAACTGCTAAAGATTGCGGCCATCTTGAAAGCAGCAAAGGCTTGGTTGCATTTCTATTAGCTCCCAGGCCTTCTCCAGACTCATCCTCCATCAGACTCTACGCTCCGTGTACGAACGGGCGGAAAAAAGATCTCATCAAATCAAAACATCAGATTATAGTCATGGGTGTGAACCGGACAAGGAAAATTATGATTGCGAAAGATTCTCTCTTTATCCAAAGCTATTGGCGGTAGTGTCACCCTGAATCCAGGTCAACTTATTAAACGTGCAATTACAAAATCCAAAGAGCTACTTCGACTGCTTCTCAGACAGACCACTCTCGTGCGGAAAACGTTTATCAAAGTTACGTCGGGGATGGACAAGCTTAAAAAAATTGCTCACTATTCATGGCGACTATCGAGTTTAGAAATTAAACCAGTTTCGCTCGGTAGATCTTTCGGATCCACGGATTTTTGCAAACCGGAATCACAGGGTTTGCAGGATATGGACCGAAAAAATGGCGAAAAAAAACAGAAAGAGGAGGGAAATCACAAGCACCCAAGGAACCCAGGCCCTGAAAGGAATATTGTGTTCCCATTCAAGCTGTGCAAAGAACAAACAAGTTAAGGAGTTAATAACTTGATTGTCTTCGCCACTGTATTTGAAATTGAAAAAAAAAAACCTTCCATTGCACCTTTTTCAGGGTTGGAATACCGTCGAATTTTTCGGCTCGTGAAGGTTACGCAGTTTAATATGGATTTTATTGATATAAACAGACAAGATATCACGATACTCTCTGTTAACTATTTCTCTTTACTGAATCGTAATCAGGCAATCTCTCAAAGAGTGAACACATTTTTTACAGCCATACAAAATCATTCATGTGTTTTGGTCAAGAAAAGTGGGCGCTCCACCTCACTTAACGAGTGAAGTTTCCTTTCACTCATTTCTTTTTATCATATTTACACTCCTCATACGAGCGGTTTTCAAATGAGTCTTAACTCAATCTGGACATGACAGACCCAATTTAAAAAAAGAAAAACCTGAAACTTCCTGTTACGACTCATTTGAACTAAACTCCTAACTAATTAAACGGAGAACTTGGTGTCAGCAAGGCTTAGCACACTCAACATATGGTTCCCCATAGTGAATCAGTGATTATTGATAATTCAAGGTCAGACCTAAAGCAAAGTATGCTTTGACCACTGCCAAAATCAAGGCAACAGTTATAGTCCAAGGAAAAGACAGATGCGTTTTACAGCACCTTGAAAACTAGCGCATGTTCGAAAACTTTTAACCGCTTGAATAAAACTACTTTACATTATTTCAAATATCAAAATATAATATCATAACTCTAGAAAATATCAAATATTTTCACATAGTACTGGAGAGAAGTACTCTCCAGAAACGATATTCCTTTTAAGTAAGCTAATAAAATGAAATCGCATCATCTGTTAATTTCCTGATAATGATAAAAAAAATATATTCAACATGAACCAAACGTAACATTGCTGGAAAACAAATTTGTTGTCCTTTAATTTCAACATAACTCCAGCGCCTTAAATTACTATATATGTGATAAGCAACAGATCTCTGAAAGAAACGAGAGGCTTAAGATTCACTTTGAGCGCAGAAACCGTTACGTGCCTAAAGCTAAGGATTTAAGTAGTTTGGATTTTTAAGCTACACTTCTTAGCATTAACATTCTGAGACCTCGACTTTGGCCACCAAAAGTCTTATCTTTGTGTCGGTAGCACCCCTCCCTCTTTATAACGTAAAGAGTTTTATCATTCTTAGCTTGGCTAATTTAATGTCATTTATAGGGTGGGGAAGTTAAGTGTCTTAATATCGATTTTCATCTCAAGATCTTCATCAACATATTATCGGTGGTAGTGCAGTGCATCTCGTTCAGTTCTTGTAACCTAAACAGCTTTATTCTCCGATGACCTCGTCGTGTGGACTGAAGGTTACCGAGTGAGTCTGTCCGTAAATACGCGCCAGTTTCTTGAACTTCTCCCCCATCTGATTCACACACTCAAAATTATCACCAGCTTCCGACTCGCCTTCCGTGTCTCCCAGAGTGCTTAGCGAAATGGTGGGGGAACCAGCCCCCTCATAACAAAACCTCTGCATTAAATCCTCCGGTATGAAGTTACCCGGTGGGGGTGGCATCCCCCTCGGAAAGCAGGCTCGTGGGGGTTTTCGTGGGGGGATAGAGTTCCGATAAACGGGAGAGAATCCATCTTCTATAGCCGAGCTGTGTAAGTCACTACTAGGACGCGACAGAGGATTCTCCATTGCGAAGGATTCCACGCCATTGTGAGACAGAGGTAGTTCTTCCACACACTGTGGAGGTTTTCTTGATTCTTCCTCCATTTTGTTAGGTCTCTGCAGTGAAGCACCATTTCCTCGCTCTCTTTTACTCAAGCTCTGGTACTTTTCCGGCGACGAAAATCCTTCCGGCGGTGATCTCATTCTCTCTTGCTCTTCTTCGCTCAATCCGAACACTTCCGTCAGTTTCCGAGTAGGACTTCCCTCAACCCCTTCCTCACCCCCTTCCGGACTATGTCTTTCCTCTCCTTTGGACGAGGTACGAACGCGCCTGCGCCGTTCAGGGGTGGATACCGCTGACGGTGAAGAAGAAGAGTCCGGGGGCTCCTGATCAGAGCCCTCCTGGGAATATGAGCGCTGTACAGCTTGTTTATCCAGTTTAACAGGCCTTTGAAGAGGGTTTGAGCCAGGCACTCCGCTGGGTTGTCTTCCATCGACATCCCTTTTAAGTGCAGTGAGCACGACATATGGTCCGCTGACGTCACCGTTGCTTCCCGATATTTTAAACGTTTTATTTAGACACGGACTGAAATCGTTTGTTTCAAAGGATCTCAATATGTCCCTTACTTGATCTTCTTCTTCCAGGTCCATTTCCCCACCTCCCTCAATGCGGTAATTGGCAACATTGTCCCGCTTAAACTGATCTTCTTCATCAAAAACATCATGCTTCTTCGGTCGAGAGCGGCGGAGGTAAACGAATGTAATGCAAGCTGATAAGATCAGCGTCACCACCAGGATTGCTAACCCTGCAGGTGTAAGATAAAACATGGAAAGGGTAAGGCCTGTTCCGGTGACAGACTTTGACAAGTATCACATGTAGAAGAATCCTTTAGTAACAATAATAATGACAATAATGATATTAAACATCTTCATTACCGTCACCATAATCGTTACTACTGTTATCATTTGTGTAATTACCTTTACTGTTGCTATCTTTATTGTTATCCTTATCATATTACAATTAGTATCATCACTGTTATAAACGGAACCGCGAACATTTTAAAGGTGCTATCGAAGTACATTTTTTAATTGAAAAAGTGTTCAGATCTTAAGGTCGAGGGTGCGACCATTTATTCCCATTCAAATCCTTATATTTCGCCCATTGTGTAACGTAACTATTTGCATATTTACGGAGGCTCATTGTGCGAGTTTGCGCTACCAGTAAAGCTGGGAGGAACAAAATTGGACGTTGCACCAGTGTCCGTCAATACATAATGCCTCTATAATTAGGTTTCACTGTACAACACAATACATTAAGAGCAATCACAAATACCGATAATTAAGCCGTCTTCTACTCTAGCACCAGTTACTTCAGGAACAACCACGGACCGGCCACGCACATCACAAAGAGCGCCTTCGAAACCCAACGGGCATTTACAGAAGAACTTGTTGTTTCCCCTGGAATCAGCCCCTTCGAAACATGTTCCGCCATTCTTACACGGCTGGGTAGTACACAAGCGAGGAAGGCAGACAAACTTCCGCCACACGTCTCGGCACCATTCAGAGATGTTGCATGGGTTAGGTTCACACATGGGTTCTGCCAAGCAACCTTCACTGACCCCTGTAAGAAAAACGTCCAATTTAAGTCTGTACTCGAGCCCAGTGCCCCACCCAAAAAGCGATGGGTCCTCAACGCATACGTGGCACTTTGATACATTTTGATTACAAGTTCAAAGTGTTTCCATAAACGGTCTGCTTCGCCAGCCAAAGAACAAAGGAAAGAAAATCGAAAGGATTTAAGGAGGAAAAGAAGATGAGGTTAGGATACGCAAATTGAGTCCTTAAAATAAAGAAGAAGATCCGTCCAGGCGTGGTGTTTTGTCAATAATACGTGTATCCTTCTACTTGCAGAAGCCGGGAAGACTGCTCTTCCTTACTCTCACTTAGATGTAAGTAAGGGAAAACGGATTAGGAAGTCATTGCTATTTAATTACTAACAAACACAGAGGAACGTTCTCCATACCTACAGACCGAGCGTTTCCTAAAGCGTTTGTTCCATTGTAATAATAGAGTAAATGCCCGTTAAATCTCACATCATTTATACAACCAACAAAATCTTTTCCAATGTTAGCTCGGCGATACCGCGATGTGCTAGATGGTGGGGCGCCCCCAATGTAGGTCCGCGTGGGATCAATAATAAACAAAGAGTGCTCTGCGCCAAGGTGCTCTGAAACACAAAATACCAAAATTACTACGACGAAACTTAAGGGGTGGTCCGCATAGTCCCTCACAACAGTAAAACTTACACTAGCTTTCTACGGCTGACATTTCTTTTCAACATGCAACTAATTGGGATAGTCACGCAAAGCAGTGAGTAGGAGACATTATGGAAACGTAACAGTGGAAAAGTCAACATCTCCCTGAGGAAACTTGAAAGTGGGGAGAAGAACAAGGTAACCCTGCCTCACATTTCTATTTTTTGACGCGTTTGGCGTCAAGCCCGGAGAAAGTTCAGTCCCTAACCTGCTAGAGGCGTAAAGGATACGTGACAACCATACCTGTTACAGAATATCCATCACCATCACTGTCCACGGATAGCGTGACGTGTGTTCTCTCCCGTACCACGCTTATATTATGCCACTGACCATTGCCCACGTTGACACCGGTCAGTTGCAAAACTGGAGAGGATTGGTCCTTGTAACCCAGTGTATATGTGACAATCAGTTCACTCTCCCCTTCCCCGTCAATATCGTAGGGCACAACCTGACCAGGAAGGAGACAGATGTAAATTAGTTCCTCTCTCTGAGCCAACCGAACAGTACATAAATACCGAAAATTCATTACAATTGGAAGTACAAAGAAATTTTTGCATCACAAAGGATCCATTCTCACATCTCTCCTTTGCAGAATTTTGTTTTCCTTTTGATAGCTTATTGTCTAAAACAGAAAGTAACCTTTTCCATTTTGAAAATCGCTGTGGGCGGTTTGTAACAATCTATAAAAAGCTACTTTGATAGTCAACGGATAGGACGTAACAAATCTTAGCGACAGTGATTTTAAGTATGAGTGTTCTCGCAAAGCCAAACGAAAGACATGAACTCTGATTCTTACAGTACATCAGTACTATAGAAAAATTGAGAGAAATTTCAAACGCAAACGATAAAAAACGAGCTTACGATCTCACCTCAAGTAAACTAAAGCGGCCTTCTTCACTTCCGTTATTGTGCATCAGCAAACCTCCATCCGGATCACGCGTTCGGATCTGCATTTTGATCTTAGTCTCCCGCGGTTCATAGTCGAACTTGTGCAGGTGAAAAAGGAACTCGGTATAACTTCCCTCCGTGTAGGATAAGGCACGTGTCCCTGTAAAAAATAAATAAAAGAAAGGGTTAAGCTTTACAAGAGCACATTAGAAGAGCCTAACACGGTTGGTTGTGGAGCAGTTTTAAAGTGACCACCAAAATAATCTCAGCGACCGATCAGAACAAAGGTCGGTTCAGTACGCGACCCGACCCAAACCTCTCTCGTTTTTTTCACTCCTCTGTAAATAAAGCGCTTTTGACTTTTGCGTTTCGCATGACTAACTGAACAACAGGGGCACTTCATTAACCAATGAGAACTCAAAGTGAAAACGAGCAAACTGCTTGAAGCGCGGGAAAACGTTAATTGTTTCAGTTTTGCACCTGATTGGTCGAGAGGATAGCACAAGTTTTCTGGACCAATCACAGAGTAAAGTCAGGTAAAACCAACGCACTTTCGACATTCGATTGAAAATTGCTCAAAGAAAAAAAACCTTGGGAAATGGGAATGGAAAGCTACATCGATCTGGTCGCAAGGAAAATTCACTCACTCTAATAAGACAGTCTCTCTCACAGCTGTTCACGGTGAGAGTTGCGTGTACAAAACTTCCAATTCTAAACTTACTTCTGCCACAAGTGGAACCGGTAAAACCAAATTGGCAATGACATGAGTACCCAGTCCAGGAAGGAACACATTTGGACCGGGCGTCACACTGGTGTTTCCTGCAATGTTGATCCACCATAGGACATCCTTCTTTGGTGCCATTTCTGTGGATGGGTGTCTTCAGATCGTAGTATCTGCCCTGATTTATCACATTCCGTATACAGCCTTCGTAATTGGCAACAGTCAGTTTGGGGTAAAGAAGATTAGTGGTTGATACTCCACCCAGCTGCAAGGGCCCGTTTAAATTCAAAAACCTGAAAAGTAAGAGCTCAGATTTTAACACCATTCCCCAACACACAAGAGATGATTCCCTTACATTTCAGACTGCCATTGATATCTGAGTGGTTGTACATAACATCTTGTTCGATAATTAAGCATTGGTAACACGCGCCGATATCTTGCAAGTTGGGAGTGTAGTAAGGGTAATGGGCAAAATGTCTGCTCGCATATGTCAAACCATGCAATTGGGAATTTATCATTCCGCAAGTATTTTATACGAATTATAGTCCCTACGGCAATATCTGAGAATCACATTAATTGCATAAGGCGCGTCAGGAGACAAAACAAAACATCACAAACGAAATTACGGAAGTTTCCATAATAAAAAAATGTAAAATCAATTTCCCTTGAAATTTAGTCGCTTAAAAAGTCCAGCCTGAAGGACGTAAATAATTTGAAGATTGGAAATTTTCGTGCGCTCTACTTATTACTCTGATTTCCGTCTTTTTATTACTACAGTACTACCATCGTATGTTTTGCACGGCCTGTTGCCCTAATGTAATAAAATAGCGTAATAGTAGACATAAAACAGAAAAAAATTGTACGTCGTTAAAGTTCCACATCAAATTAAGGCTTGAAATTAAATGACAGTGCAGCCTTACTTGTTCTTTTTTCTCAATGTTGCTGTGGAAGAACAGTGAGACATGTCTTCGACAGCTCTAGACACGCGTCCCGCCTCCACCCGTGCTCCTTTGCACTTATCCACCGTAACACGTACAAACTAAGATTTATAAAAAAAAAAAAAAAAACATCAGCAAAGATGAGAAGCTTTAAAAATCTTCTACTCATTATTATAGGTTTACAAGGTGGTCTATATCTGTTGTGAGTAGCATACGGAGGCAGTATGGGTACACAGCTAATCAGAGAAGAGTATTTTGTACCACGTGGTAGAAACGAACCAATCATGGTTCCGGATTGGCCTTTAAGATGGCGATCTCAATGGTTGAGTACCATAATGCTCCCGTATACTATTGTTGTAGAAATGGAAACAGAAAGAAACCAGTCATGGAAGACAAGTCGTCTTTCTTCTTCTCTTCTCATGTCTTATATTCTGAATTTTTAGTTTCATCTGCTCTACCTCAAGTTGAGAAGCTGGACAATTGTATTACTCATAATTTCGCCATTCACACTTAGTTTCTCGAATTAAGCATTGTCAGCATCCAAACCATTCAATGGGTTATTGAGCTTGTGACTATATCACTTTGGCATGCGTTTTAAAGCAGACATCTCCATTCTATCATGCTCTAGACTACACATCTATTTTGAGTCATTTACAGCATTGCGGCCTGATAGGCCTTCAACAATGAGGACCATTCTCGTTCTCTTTGGTTACCCGTTTGGTGGTCGTTCTTATCATGGCTAGATCTTTCTCATAGATCCTCCTGTTTTTAAGTTAATTTTGTTCACGATAAAACGTAAACCCTTATTTAAACCAAGTTTGCAAACCCTGGTTGACCACAGGCTTTTCTTTGCCATGATTGGTTAAAGCCTTGTTTCACGCACTCGTAGGCGTAGGAGACAGGAAAACCCGTCAATTAACTTCATTTTCCCACAGGAGGTTAAGCCTTCCCAGCGAGATGGCCCACAGCTGCCGGAGTTTTTCATGGCACCAAGTTCTGGACGGATATTAGGTCCATTGCAGATAACTCCCTATAGTTTACTGGTCTATTTATATTCCTTGGCTAAGGGAAGAACTGTGATAGTTTTAGAATTGTTTTTTGTTTGTTTGTTTGTTTGTTTTGCAAGAACACAACATAATGGTTACCACTATTTCACCGATTTAAATAAGGTCACTTACTGATCCGTCCCGGTAGACCTCAATATGATGCCATTCACCGTCATTCAGGGCCATCCCACCAGGAACTCCGGCGCGCACCACATCATTGCGGTCCCCAAGAGACATGTTCACACGAATCTTACCGTCTGCCAGTTCAAGCGTTATAAAATCATGCACGTCTCCCTCCCGCACGGGGGAAGTTGGACCTCCATACAACAGAAGCCCGTTTGGTTCTCTGGTGGCAAACTCGAGTGACAGGGAACCTAGACTGCACTGTTCCAGTGCTGGAAGCCACAGCCACTCGCCAGGCACAAAGCTTCGCGTTGTAAATTCACAGTTGGGACCATCGTGATCCTTAATACATCGACACTTGTGTCCTAATAAAAGAACAAAATTCGAAAAACGAAAGCAGCATTCATTTTAGCAAGTATTCGTTGATTTTCGCTATTGCTTAAATAGCGCTATCTACTGCGAAGATCGTGCATCATATGTAAGTACTCGTTGGTTAGGCAATGCAAACGGTGAAAGATAACGTCTTCGTTGGAGAGCAACTGGTATATATTACCGGATTCATTTCTGAAAACTGAACAATCCTATTACTGAAAAATGGCTTCCAAACCAAGCATATTTTCTGCGTTTACCGGGCGAAAGGAGACAAGCGTTCCTTATCATCTGCTACTGCTACAATAGAAATTTCCCAAATGATCATAAAAATATTTCATGTTTCCTCCCTCAAAGGGTGAATTTCTAGCATGGAAAACTAACCTTGAGGAGTGTCCATACACGTGCCTCCATTCAAACACGGCTTTGATTTACACCTCGTCATATCTTTTTGGTTCCCCTTACAATCATCACAGCGTGGTTCAAGGATCGCAACTATGGACGCAAAACACGTTCCTCTCTCAGAAATCACCTCCACCTCTCCATTAGCAATCAACACATTTGTACAGCCACCAGACTCACACGGCTCATGCAGGCATTCATCTACACCGACGGCCAAAACTTTCGCGTTAAACACAGCCAATGATTTGTTCAAACTGGGTCGGTTGTTCTTCAAGATAGCGATCATTTTCTCAGGGGCATAGTAAGGACTTCCATGAGCCGCGAACCTAACGTCGATAGCTCGCGGTACCCTTGGTGCGTCCTGAACGCTAAATAAATCCACGTTGTCTTCGTCAGTTCCAAGAATGCTTCCCACTGACTCCTTGAATCTCGCTAGAACTGAAACGATAAACTCTTTACGCGTAACACCACCGAGTCTTATCGCCATACTGTTGTGGACAGCTTCAGCTGATACCTGCTTGACTTTGATGAACACGGAACAGATCACCGATGTGAAGATGCTGTTAGTATCAGAAACTATGGCAGACAAGTAGTGATTTCCTTCAGGAGGATTCGGCTGGCTTATTATCATTCCTGTCGTCGGCTGAATGGTGAAATAACGGGAGCTATTGGATATCAATTTGTAATGTCTGTCATCATTGATGTCTTCGTCCACCACGTACACTTTTCCAATCTTCCCCCCTGGAAACTTGCCTTGATACGAATTCAGCTCGAGATTTAACGTTCCTACCGAGTGTTGATGGTCATTCTCATCTAAAATGTGCACAAAGAGTGAAGTCTTTGTATTTTTCCTTGGGTTGCCACTGTCCCACGCTGCTACCACGAGCCTGTAAGATTCGCGTTCTTCACGGTCAAACACTGCTCGTGTAGACATCTCTCCCGTTCTGTTATTCAGCTCAAAGAGGCCTTGATCGTTGCCGGTGACAATCTCAAAAAAGAACGGAGCTCCATTAGGAGGATCAAGATCTGGATCATCAACGCTAATTTTTCCTAGGTACTGAGGAGGTTTAGAGTTTTCTTTGACACTGAAGCGGATTTCTGACGGGTGGAAAGTTGGACCATTGTCATTCACATCATTCAAGGTGATTTTAACTGAAGCGTGACCATACAGGGGAGGAGTTGCTGAAAATTAAAACAGCGACAGTAAATATCGCAGTTTACAATACATCTGATATTCAGACATGGCTTGATGCTACTCTATTCCTCCTCGCGCGTGATAGTTTAGACTCGTCACGTGACCAAATATTCCTGATCAAAATTGGAGAATGTCCGGCGACATTTTTTAAGCGATATTCCTGAATTGTCAAACTAAAGTTGTCCAACATTTGTTTTTCACTCACCAGTATTCGTAGCTCTAACAGTGAGCAGATAAACCGCTCGTTTCTCCCTATCCAGATTGCGGTGTACATAAAGGTTTCCCCGATCGGGGTCAATACGAAATTGTCCCTCGGGATCACCCTCAAAAATGGAAAACTTGAAGTCTCGGTTGCTGCCTGAGTCCGTGTCCGTGGCGGTAACTTTCATGATAAAATACTCAGGGGTAACATCCTCATTGACTATTTCCGCGTACGATACGGGATTAAATACTGGGGGATTGTCATTGTAATCTTGAACGGTGATCATTACTTCCGCTTTGTCGCTAAAGAAAGGAGGACTAGAGTCCCGCACCTAAACGAAAAGAGGGAGAAGGAAAGTGACAGAGGTCGAAACTATGATGTAAAAATAATTACCTCACAAGCTTTAAACGCCGTGCGCACAAATGCGTTTTCGTCATCGTCTTCAAAAGGCTCCGCTTTCAAGCATTTAAGTGTGGACAGAAGGCCAAAACACATCGAAAAATATCTGTTTTCAAACGAAAACGCATGAGTGTGGACGGAATCTCACAGACGCATAGATGAAGTTGAAATTACAATTCTTAATGAGATAAACTTCACAGACATGCAGATGAAAATTAAGCGAAAAAAAAGAGAGATCCTGCCAGGGGGAGGGACTGTTAAACAATTGCAGGAGATTCTTTAACAACTCAGGATTCGACAGGATTCGAATTCAGGCCCCCTAGATACTAGTTACTTCGCAGTCCACCCGGCGAAGATCATTTCCTTGCTTGGACTCACCATTAACAGCAACTTGCTTCTCTATGATGTAAATCAAATAGAATCCATGTTGCCGTGCTTCTGATCAGTAATAAATCACAGAGGATGTCTAACCGTGGTAAGAACATTGACACACTTGGCTGTATCTCGTGGGCCATTTTTTTTTTTTATCCTCCAATATCTGTGATCTATTCCTACAAAGACACTCGGCAACATGGAATTTATTTGTTTATTAGTCGAGAAATACGCCCGAAGAGACCAGGCCTGGAGTATAAACATAACTTGAAAGGGATTATCTTTGGAATAAGGCCCACACGACAAACCGTTAAAATATGCTCTTTCGCCAAAATATGCGAGTCCTCAATCTCACTTACCATGACTTTTAGAGTGTATTGCTTCTGTGTCTCGTAATCTAAGCTTCTAGCTACCTGAATGACTCCAGTATCTTCCACAACACGGAACATTCTACTGCCATCCTCCTCCGCATCAGCGCCCCCTTCTATAATACTGTAGCGTAACCTGGCATTACTACCGATGTCTTCGTCGGTGGCCTTGAGTGTCATCACGGACGAGTCAATGGATGCGTTCTCGAAAATGCTGGCGACAAAAGTCTGCTCAGTAAACCGCGGCGGATGATCGTTGTCATCCGCCACCCTGATCATGACCTCCACTTGACCCCAGAGCGCCGGTCGACCTCGGTCTGTAGCGTTGGCAACCAGTCGGTATTCGTCGACAGTTTCTCGGTCTAGTCTTTTGCGCGTTGAAATTAATCCTGAGTCGCGATCGATTTCAAAGAGTCCACCTGCATTATCAATTAGTTTGTAAGACATGACAGCGTTTCCGTTTTCATTAGGGTCATCTTCGTCGACTGCCGTCAAGACCATGACACGAGCGCCTGGAAGCTGGTTCTCTTTCACAGTTCCCTCGTATACATCATCCGGGAACTGCGGACTTTTGTCATTGATGTCCCGGATCCAAACCACCACATCGCAAGAACCGGTCCTCCGAGAGCCCGGTTCTGCATTAGGATTGTCAGTGGCAAACGCAAGGAAGTCGTAACGCCCCTTAGCTTCTCGGTCTAGAGGTTTGATAGTCGTTACGACACCGGTAATTGGGTCGATATCAAAAGCGTCTTTTCCCTGACCACTGATCGAAAACGAGAACTCTCCACCCAGTCCGAGATCCTTATCAGATGCTGACAATGTCGTGACGTAACTTCCGGCTGGCTGGTTTTCGTATACTTTGGCTACATACGTTGTGTTAGCGAACACAGGGTTGTTATCATTGACATCTTTGACGTGTATAATGACCACAGCCGTACCAGAGTTTTTCCCGTCAACTGCCCGTATCATGAGCTTGTAATTATCTTGTGTTTCGCGATCTAAAGAACTCGCCACGACAATTTGTCCAAGATCCTTGTTAATGGCAAAAGCCGCTCGGGTATTTCCCGCCGTGATGAAATAGTTCACCACAGCATTGTTTCCAATATCGTCATCCACTGCAGATACTTCGAGAATGTGTGTTCCTCTAGAAGCATCTTCGTGAACAGTTGCATTGTACACAGTCTGATCAAACACAGGACGGTTATCGTTCTGATCACTGATTATGATATCCACAAGACAACTTGACGCTTTGCGAGGATCTCCATGGTCACGTGCTTCCACAATCAAGGTGTAACGTCCAGTCTCCTCACGGTCAAATACCTCTTTGGTGGTGATAAGCCCAGTCTTCGAGTTTAGCTCAAATGATTCATTGCTTTCTTTTCTGATGAAGGCGTAAGAAACTCTTCCATTTTCACCCTTATCTGGGTCATCGGCTTTCACTTCGATGACAGAGCTGCCGACCGGTGAATTCTCGGCAACTTGTCCTTCGTATTTTGACACCGGAAACTGAGGCGGTGAATCATTGACGTCCTCCACGAGAATTTCAAGCCGAGCGAACGACATAAGCGGTGGATCTTGACTATCTTGAGCAAGGATGTGTATTGTGTAATTTGATGCTAATTCGTAATCAAGGGTACGCTGAGTCACTATAACTCCTTGAACCGGATCAATGTAAACAGGCTGTGGAAAATTCACAATACTATAAAAAATCAGATTCTGGGGATCCGGGCTTGTTGCCAACACGCGCGTGACCCTATTCCCTTGGCGCACATCCTCGCGAACACGTGCGATATACACGTCTTCCGTGAACTTTGGCGGGTCCTTTCCGGCTTTGTAAACACTGATGTCTACAACTGCTTTAGAGGACCGCGGCGGTTTTCCATTATCTTGCGCAATCACTCTGAACTGGTACTTTGTCGAGGACAGTGGACCTTTGGTGGTTATAATTCCCGTGCTGTTGGATATCATAAATTGCTTGTTTGGTGTTTCAAGAGAGTACGTTATGAGCGAATTACTACCGGCGTCCTCATCGGTGGCGCTTACATGAAGTGCTATATCCCCTTTTTCTAGGTCCTCCTTTATATTGGTTTTGAATGGAGTGTTACTAAAAACAGGATCGTTGTCATTGACGTCCTCGATCTTTATTTCCAGTTGACAGAATCCCATCAGCCTCTCTGCTTCTTCTTGGTAAGGTCCTCCGTCCTTTCCCGTGATCCTTATCTGGTAGGATCGCTTCTATTCACGGTCAAAGGTCACGGCAGTGGTTACCAGACCGGAATTACTGTTTATTTGAAAGTAAGGTATCCCGATAGATGGCCGCTCAATTTGGTAACTGACTTTTCCGTTCAGACCCACGTCTCTATCTTCTGCACTGACCTAACTTTCATTAGAAACCAACAAACCATGATGAAAATACCATAAGCCCTTTAGCTCCCACGAGTGACCAGGGCAGAATTTCTCCTTACAATATCAACGGTACAACATTATGCAGACAAGTGATGAGACTAACGAAAAACATCAGTAAGGGTATTATCAATTGGTCCATGCTGAATTCTCCAAACTAAAATGATAAGCTATGTACGAGAACAGTAAGGAGAAGTACTAAAGATATCATGGGAGTAAAAAGGCTAAAAAAAAAAAACATACTAAAATAGTTGTAAACCTAACAGATTTTCCTATCATCCTATCCTGGTGTTTTGCATCTAATTCATGTCCTTTGGGATATCCACCGAAAGGAAAAATCGGCGTTGTTAGGGATTCTTATCTTCCATAACACATGGATGCTTTCGCCATCAACTCTCTTTGCAAAGCACTTTGCGAGAAACGTTAACCTTGCTTGTCATTTAATTTACCATTAGTTGAGTAACGACCAATGCTGCTTTACCATTCTTATTTAGTTGATCAGATAACTGTTAGTACAGTAAAGTAATATGGAGAAAGGCTGATAGTTTCGAAAGAAACTGTTTGGCGCTGCGTCGGTGGGAGTAACGAAATAATTTGGATATATCAACAAAGTTGAAGTGGTAAATTGGCCACCGTAACGATTACAAAAGCTGACGTTTCGAGCGTTAGCCCTTCGTCGGAGAACAATGTTCTAGGAGACAGGGTTGCTAATAACGAGCTAACCCAACAAACCTGAATAACTGGGGATCCCGGAGGAAGGTTTTCTGCGATAACCGGTTGGTACTTGTCGCAGTCTTTGAACATTGGTTTGTGATTGTTTATATCCTGAATAGCCACTATTAACACGGCCTGGCTTGTGTGAAGGCCATCTGAGGCACTAATGTTGAGCTCGTAGTACGGACCTACAAGGCTTGGCGCCCTGTGTGCCACCAATCGGACGACACCCGTCCGGTTGTTAATCACAAAATTACTGTTATTATCACCTGAGATGATGCTGTAGGAGACTGGGTCTAGATCAAGGTCACCTGCTTGAACTAAAAAGGAAAGTGAGTGAGAGTGGAATTGTCTTATCACTAAACTACGCTGGTCCTCCGGGATTAACTTACCCATTCCCTATTTGGGAAACGAAAAATGACGTAACACATCATAAGGTCATCCTTAAACTCAAACAGTAAACATCAGAGCTGTTTATTATTCGTAATAACAGGGTGGACACTCAAAGTTACTTTTACAAAAATCCAAAACTCTGCATCTAACTACATTTTGACAACTATATCAACCGTTATCAAACGTTTTACTAAGCAACTTACCAGTCGTCACCAGTTCACCGGGGCCAGCATCCTCATTCACATGTGAATTATAAACTGTCTGTGAGAATCGCGGTGGATTGTCGTTTACATTTTGAAGCGTCACTTCGACTCTCGCCGTTCCGCTAAGCACTTGTTTCCCGCCATCTTGCGCCACTACAGCAAAGGTGTGCGAGCGCGCGGTCTCGTAATCCAACGGTTTCGTTGTGGTGATTTCCCCAGTGTAAGGATTTACAGAAAAGTAATTATTATCCATGTAATATCTGAACTGTCCGTTTACTCCTGAATCACTGTCATGCGCTGAAACAACCATCACCATTGTTCCCACAGGAGCACTTTCTGGTAAAATGTACCTGTAACGTTGTTGAGAGAATTCTGGTGCATTGTCATTCATATCTTTGAGGAAGACTTGAACGTTGACTTCGGAAGACTGGCGCTGAGTAACGCCAACCTCGAACGCTTTTATCCTGATGTAGTAAACATTGGAGTCACGCTCATAGTCCAGAGGATCGGGGAGAGCTAGACGCCCTGTGTTGCTGTCCAGGATAAATTTTTTCTGAACGTTTCCTAGAGAAAGAACACAAAATACAATCCCAAATCATACCCAGCACTGCGCATTTCAAATACGCACTGATTTGTTAACATCATCAACAACAACAACACTGTTCTTACCTTAGGGTATGCGTACTTTTTTTGCAGATGACTTCTGATTGGTTTGCTTTGTAAAGTGCGTGCATCCTAGGTTACTGTTTGTAGTATTGGATCTAAAGCATTTTGCGCGCGAAGGCAGATGACATTATCACATTTAATTTGGTCTCATTTTTACACTCTGAGTTTTCATCTCCAGGATGCAAAGGCTTATCCTCCAGAATGAGAAACTTACATTTTCCTGTCAGCCATTCCAGAAAATTTACTCGAGAAAAGTCGCTCTTAAATGACATTTTCTTTATTCTCATCACCTATTTGCATCACAGTGACACAAAACTACTACAACACTTTACTTAACTATCAGTATTTGGAATCAAAGATTCGTTATTCTCACCGTGTACAACAGTGTATGAAAGTGACGCTCCAGAGTAGCTGTGCGCCTTAATATGGCCGATGGTGAATCCTTTCCGCGTGTTTTCCTCGATTCTAAACACATACTCCTCCCGACTGAAGGTGGGCGGGTATTCTCTAACTTGCACGTGCAGTATGGCTCGTGTGTGGCGTGAAGGCGTGTCACTATCACTCACGCTCACAGTGATGTTGTAAAAGTCTGCCATTAACACTTGTTGAGTGACTGTCTTCACTCTCCCGCTCTCGCCCTCCACCTCAAATACAGCGTTTTCGTCGCTACTGCTGACCAGAGAGTAACGCAGATGGCCTCTAGAGTCTCGATCTGATGCCGTCAGCGTGTACACCACCGTACCCTGGACGGGATTTCTATTGACCTTAGCGATATACGTCCCGTCCTCTTTCTCCATAGTAAAGGTAGGGGAGTTATCATTTACGTCTTCAATATCAACTACTAAGTCGATATTGGTGTATTCTTCGCTGTTTTTGGAGTTTTGTACTTGCAGTATTAAGCTGTAATTCTGTGTAGATTCATAATCAAGTGGACGAGAGGTTCGCATCTCCCCAGTTTCACTGTCTATACGAAAAGGTGCACCGACAGGGTAAATGATCGAGAAGCTAGGATTTTTAATTCTAGCTGAATCTATTATTTTAATGAGCACGACGTCTTGCTTAACGTCTTCAGGGACAGTCACCTGCAGTTCTCTCTGTTGAGTATCATACTTCAAGAAAACAAGCCTCACCGACGTAAAAGTACTCCTGGAAGGAATCCCATTATCTAAAGCTTCAATTCTGAAAACGAACGGAGACTGAAGTCCTCTCAATGTTCTCTTTGTCCTTAAACTACCTTCAGAGTTTACAGTAAAATACGAAGCCGCTTTCTCGTTATCTATCTTGTAGCTTATGACGTCACTACCATCTCGGTCATGTGCCTTAAGCCACATCACGTGACTGTCGGCGACGGCGTCAGCTAACACCTGTCCTTCAAAAGCACCGCTGTGAATGTCCACAAAGTAAGGTTCATTATCATTGACGTTTATCACATGTACGACAACTTTGACGTAATTCATTCGATTACTACTGTCTATCGCCATGACAACAAGCTGGTAACGCGCAAATTTTTCGTAATCAAGGGATCTCGTTGTAGTTAGCAATCCCGTCTCTTCATTCAAATGAAAATGTTTTCTAGAATTTCCATTCAATATCTTATAGGAAATAACAGGATCGACACTTGCCGCCTGCACGCGAATAACCTCAGTTCCCGCTTTCTTGTTTTCTGCTACACGCAGGTTGTAAGAAGAAGCAAGAAATCTTGGAGGGCCCTCAACGGCGTAAATAGAGACAATTACTTCGGCAGTAGCGTTTCTGGTGGGCTGACCCTGATCACGTGCCATGACTGTAAAATTAATTGACTTAAGTGACGTCATGGGACGGGCAACAGTGACAGTTCCATCAGTTGGGTCAACAGCGATGAACTGATCAGAGTTACCGGCAATGACTGAGTAACTGTAAGCAAAAAGAATTAGAGATTGCTTGAAATCTATTTCATCAAACTAGGCACAGTTTTCTTGATTGGTATTGATACAATCTTAAAGGAAGTCTAAAGAGTGGATTGTAAACGAAATAACACTGGTATGAGAGCCACCACTGAGATGAGAGAGAGTGAAAAAAAAAATTAAAGAGAATATCTGGGGAGGAAAACAGAGAGGTTTGTAGAAAGGCAAAACAGTAGAGAGGCAAAAAGAGAGAAGATGGAAAGAAAAAGAAAAAATGACATGAGGAAGGAAGGAATAAACGTAAAAACTACTAATGCCAGGAGTTCTTGCGGAAGCAAATCTGAGCTATCTAAGTATAACCAATGAAGAGGGTGCATTTCTTTAAGCTCACCTCAGAAGGCCATTCTCTCCCCAGTCCATGTCTGATGCCACCACTGAAAAAATCCTAGATCCAACCTTGGCATCAACTGGTACTCCAGCCCTAAACAACTCTGTAGCAAACACTGGAGTGTTATCGTTCACATCAGTGACAATCACAGTCAAGCGTACCAGGCTACTCAGCAAAGGTTTCCCGGCGTCTTCTGCTTCCACCATGATCACATGCTGCTCCATAAACTCCCTGTCTAGCACCTCAGTTGTTGTCAGTTGACCGGAAGTTGGATGGATTTCAAATTTTCCTCTGGAGCGAGCATCCTCTACTCCAACAATTGAATACTTTATCTCGCTGTTGGAGCCTTCATCACGATCTTTGGCTTACATTTTAGCCACCGTGTTGTACGCAGGTAAATTCTCTGACACGTAGAACTTATATACGTTTGCGCTAAACGTAGGAACGTCGTCGTTCACATCTTCCACCGTGAACAAGACGGACGGTGCGATATGAGTTGTTATGCCATCATCCACCTTGATTTTAAGGTGAAAGGATTTTTTCTGTTCGTGGTCCAGCGGTTTATTAACTCGTACATGACCAGTCGTGTCTATGCACCATTGGTTGTCTTGGTTACCGTCTGTTATCCAGTACTTTAAGGTTAGACGACTTTCTGCAAGGGAACGTAACTGTAACGGGGACTTTCCAACGTGTGTGTCTTCTAGCACGTATTCGGCCAACGCCGAATCGGGAAACCTTGGGGGAGGGGTGGCCTTGTTTATCATGACCACCACATTGGCTCTAGCACTTCGGTATGGGGGTGTTGAGTCGGTTGCCGTGACAACGAAAGATCGCGAGGCTCCTTGAGAATGATATAATTCAAGCTTGGTCGTTATGGTTCCGAGGTATGAGTGAATTTTAAAGTTAGCATCTTCCAGTCTATACGTGATAAGAGAATGGTTGCCTGTGTCTCTGTCATATGCTTTCAAAACGGCAATGAGAGTTCCTGGGGGTTGAAATTCATCCACAGTTATCACAAATGGATCCACCGGGAGAGCAAACCGTGGGGTCCTGTCATTCACGTCTGTGACATCCACGAAGACTTTGACCTGTTAAGCGAATAATAGAGAAACTTAATTTCGCACACGACTGCGCGCAGCAGATATAAATGTGGAAAAAAGGAACGGGTATATAATGTCGGGGGTAATCTTTAATACTCAAGTTGATAACCAATTTGAAGTCGACGAAGATTAATCAAACGCCTCCTTTCCGACGGCGATATTTTCCCGGTTGTCTGGTGCGAGTATCCTTAAAAGGACTTTTTTTCGATAGGAGTGGGTGATGTTTCAACAACCTGAGCATCAGGCATCATCAGAGTCTGGTGAGGAATTATTGGTCAGTCAAATGTTGTGGGCATAGTTCGTCAAAAATGTATTGGACTGTTTTGGCCGTAGGACTCCAGTCTCTTCGTCAGTTCACAAGGAAGCATTTATATTGTCCATACGTACCTCGGTTGGCAATGAAGATGATACTCCATTCTGCACAGCACGCACAACCAACACGTAGTGATTAATTCTTTCGTAATCCAACTGTTTTTTGAGGGTGAGCATGCCACTTCTAGTTCCCACACTGAACTGATTCAGTGGATCACCCCCCACAATGAAGTACTCGACAGAACGACCAAAATCAACACTTTTCGGCGCGCGCACCGTCAGCAGCGCGGCGCCTGTTTTGAAAATTTCAGAGATTACTTTTCGATAAACAGGCCTCAAAAACCTTGGAGAGATGTAAGACAGGGGGTGAACAGTCACAGAAACACTCACGGCAGTTTGTCTGTTAGGCGTTCCCTGGTCGGTTGCTCGGACTGAGAATTCATATTTCTTGCTGGTGACAGATCCCAACCCTTGCTTAAGCGTGATGATACCTTTGGTAGGATGAATAGTAAAGACGTCACTGGTAAGTCTGTATCGTATATCAGCGTTTTTACCTTCGTCCAAGTCGCGCGCTTTGACAGTGAGTACAGTTGCACCCATATTGGCATCATTAGGTAAAGCAACCCAATAAGATGCCTGCAAAAACTCTGGGTCGTGGTTATTCGTGTCTTGCACGTGAATGGTGACATTAGCAGTGACAGACTTCCTTTGCACGCTCTCGGCACTGTCAGTGGCGCGGACCGAGAAGGAATACTGGTTTGCACGGTACCAGTCCAAGTAGCCAGTGAGAACCAGAGCACAGCCTTCGGGCGTTCTTCTAACTTGAAACGTGTCCATGGTCTCCAGGTCCATGTTTTCCATACTACAAGTGAATTTTCCATTCTTGTCCCGGTCCTGATCAGAAGTGGTTAGCACAGCTACAGTATCTTCCACATCTGTGTTTTCTAATATAGTCACTGCGAGAGAAAGTGACAATATATTGCTATGAGTATAAAAGTAACTTTAAAAACAAAGTTACAGGTGTTGGAGGATAACTGAAAGTACTTCGCAAATACAACTTCGTAAAGGGTTGGTTGATAGTTTTAACTTTTAGCACCGACTTTCTAAAAAAGTGGCTGGCAAAACTCTCCAAACTGGTTTTACTTTTTTTCTTAATACAAATTTCAGTCCATTTATTGTTCATCTGAACCGTCATAATTTTGCTTCGTTCATTGAAAACTAACAGCACAGACAACAACTATTGGTAAACTGATAAATCTTAAAATCACTGGCACCACAAAATTTAGCAATCACGTTCATTGAAATTTGATATTTAAATGCATAACTTCCATAGTTTACCTCACGAAATTAAAGCTAAACAGGGCATGCAAAGAGGTTTGACAAGCCTGAATTTAGATATTTATAGATATGCAAGTTTCAATTCTCCACCAACACAATACACACCGTACCGTTCAAATAATAAAATTTCAACAGTTGTAACTCCAGTATCGTACCGTTTCCTGCTTATTCCTGTCGTGCACTCCATGCACTCTCGCACATTTTCAATGTTTAATAAATTGTCACTGCAGTTGTTGTGAAAACCATTCGAGTACCGTACGGTCATTAAAACCTTGTTCAACTAAGACAACACATGTCCGTAGTTTTCAGACGTGAAAGTTTTCAGTTTACGTCAGGGATTCGGCTTCATGGGAAGATTAGGACACACAAGTCAAAAGCGCGGGAAAATAACGCGCATTCCAACAACTGGAACCATGGGACATGTAGCTGTTCTTTATTGGGAGCATATGATTGGTTACTTCTCGAGGGCAAGTTTCTAAAGCAACTGAAGAGTTCCGCAGCAAAAACGAATCCAGCAACTTTGAAAATTCCACAACACAAACGGAGTCACCAACCTCCCAGAGGAGAACAAGAGCTCACTAAACAACTGCAACAGTCGTTAAGCCATCAAATGCCCACATATCATATTCCAAAGTAGCATTTTAATACGACTCTACGCAAAAATGGTCGTAGTCTCTCTCTACAAGAGAAGAAAGTCAAATGACTCGCACCCAGTGCGCTTGTGCTTATCTCTTCCACCGTTTCTACCTGAATTCCAGTCCTAGCTGCAACCAAAGGAACAATTGTCGGACCTCACAAAAACTAAACCACTGAGCTTACAAGATGCTTTGAAAAGGAACCTTCCATTTCAAGACACTCTGGTATACCTAACTTTTAACGATATTCCTTTTTTTTCTCCAGCAAAGGATCCAATCAAGATTATTATGTTCTGGGAACTGATTAGTACCTCAGTCCCGTCCATAACCAACCACTTACCATCGACCCGAGTTCCTTTTTTTTTGCGAACATTTGTTGTCTCAAAGTTTTTCTTTATAACTGGTCAAGGTCAACAAAAACTAACTGATTAGTCAAAGATGTACCAATAGAGCTCAGTAAGGTAAATGTTACGAGCGCAGTATCTCCACGTCAGTTCAAACATGTGGTTCTGTTTAAGTCAATGCGTTTTAGCAGAAGAAAATGGTCTAGACAGAAAATAAAGTTCCAAGAGAAAATCAAAACAGTGGGCTAATGTTACCCTTCACAGCGGCGTCTTCATCAGATACAAGAAACACAGCCAGAAGATCTGTTCCAATTTTGGCAGATTCCAAGACTGTTACTGTATTATAGAGGAGCAATCATGAGTTACTTTACCAGCAAATGTGTTTTAAGACAAATGCAAAAAGTTAAATGTAGGATAAAGTAACATCACTGATATTAGCTTAATTAGATCACTCTGTTTTTATGGGTGAAAAAATTAAGCACACGTGAAAAACGTTAATGCACATGTAATTACCGGTAGATTAATTAAAACAATTTCAGAAAACGGAGCTTATTATATGAATTAGAAATTGGACCACAATATCAACAAGAAATGTTAATCCACATAAAGAATTCTTCACAGTTTACCAACAAAGAAAACAAATTAATGTATTTCTGTGTTAAACAGCATGCATGGACATTGTAGCTTGAAATACCTTCAAAATTTTCGTTGCTGGTAAAAATGTTAGTAATAAGGGATAGCAAATAGGTCAACACTTATCAAAAGTCAACTGTTTTCTTTTCTCCTCTTTTCTTCCAGAAACAAAGAGGAGAGAGAAGGGAAGAAAATGCCAACCATATTCCATCGAAGATAAGGAATATAAAGATCACAGAGGTTGAACATCAAACCTTTCTCCTGACTTAAGTTTGAACAAAGAAAGTGAAAGGGAAAAAGGAAGAAGAATTAAGATGGAAGCAGATCTTGCTGAAAGTGACTTGAAGATCTGAAATCACCTTGAGATCCTAATATCACTCTTAAAGTATTTCATAATGAAATAGAATATGATAATCAGTCATACAGTGCTTGGGTTACATTGTCTGATCATGGATTCATGCACTAAGTGTATTATAAAATATTAATATCTTCTTGCAGATGTCAGTTCCCTGACTTTACCCTGATAAACATAAAATTTCCCTGATCGACTGAAATAACAATTTTTTCCCTCTAAACTGCTCTTAACAATGTATATCATTGAGTAACATCATGATGAGGACCAAGACAAGATAAACAACTCTACACTTACATGAATTTTCTCTTTTCTCTGACTAATATTTCAAAGATGTAAACATTCCCAAATTCAAAGTGAAATTCCCTGAATTTTCCCTGACTTTTCCCTGATCTTGAAAAGTTTTATTTCCGCGACTTTTTCCTAACCTGTGGCAACTATGGATGTACAGATACATTACTTGAAGACCATGAATAATTGATCCCTTAGTCAATGAGAGTTAATGATAATTGTACCTACAGTGGGCTTGATCTTCACATGTAAGAACATGAATATTAATCTGAGGAAAACTGAGTGGGAATGGCATGAATATCTCCATTAGCGGAGGAAGGCATAAAAAATCTTTTCTTTTGTACTAAGGTGCCTACAGGTTATAAATATATGTGTTTTTTTCTTGAAAGGGGGGGTGGTGAGGGGGGCTACCACATAAAAAATAATCAAAGCACGCCTAATTAATCCACCTCTAACAACATGAGTTCATGCAATGTACCTTCATAATGATCCTGAGAGAATATAGGTGCGTCATTAGCATCTTCCACAACAATGTTAACTTCCACAGTTGTCTTCCGCGATGGCATGCCATTGTCTGCTGCTTGTATAACTAGTCTATGCTGTGACTGTTTCTCATAATCTAGAGATCTTTTGGCTGATAAAACCCCCAGGACAGGGTCGATGGCAAATGGTCCCTTACCAGAGATTATAGAGTATGTGAGGTGTCCATTCTTACCAGCATCAGGATCATAGGCTGCTAGACATAGCAAATTTGATATATTACCAATGTTTTCTGTGACAAAAACCTATAACAAGAAAATGAATATTTGTTTTTGTAAAAGAATATCCAGACATTTCTAGTTTGTGGTCAATAAGTCCAAATCTCTGAGAAAAATTCACCAGGTAGAGAAACGCATCAAAAACATGTCAGGTAACTATGTCACATGTCTTCCAGCATCTCATTTACTCTAGCGTGGTTTTACTACAATTTTGTAGGGTGCTTGACATGTCATGTTGAGTGTGTGACTGCAAGCCCAAGAACCACAATGTATGTTGGGAATTAAATGAGAGAAAACCATGTGCTTGAGGAGTATTCTAAAAGTATGGAGCTTGTGCTTTAGTAAAATGTTTTCTGGTTTGATTTGAGTGTGTAACAATATTACTGTCTCATCTAATTTTTCCCCTTATTTTGAGTATGAAAGGTAAAAGCTGGATGTTTCAAACCAGTAGAGTAATTCCCATTACCTGTTAATATTTCAAGAATCCCCAGTGATTTTAGGCAGAAATAAGGGGTATCAGTATTGGATTATTATTTCTTTATTTCACTCCCAGATCTAAGTAATTCTCCACACAATCTGCCATTCATTTCTTATGTTAGTTTAGAGAATTTGATATTGGATCAACTAATAATACCCTTAATGACATTATTATTTATTCTATCACTTGTCTGTTTGATATTGTATTGATTATGTAAGGAGAAATTCTGCCTTGGTCACTCAACCGAGATAAAGAGTTTTAAGCTCTTACCTGGTAGTTGTTTTTTTCAAATGATGGACTGTTATCATTCTCATCAGAAACTGTGACGACAACTTGAACAGGGGAGCTCATTGATAATGGAGCACCCTTAATATGTGCATAAATATCAAGAATATACAGATCTTTACTTTCACGATCAAGCTGGCCAGCAGTTGAAATTATTCCTAAAAATAAACAATTTTAAAAAAAGATATGAGAAGTAGTGTTGAGGTAGACATTTATATTAACTGGCAAAAATCACTGAAATATAGATTCTGCAATTCTAAACAACCACTCCAAATTAGAACATTCAGAGCAACTATCAAAATATTATAATTTAAGAGTACAAATAGCTTGGCCAAAAGCACCTCACATTTAAGCTCTGAAACATTAAGCAAGAAATGAAAATGAGTTAATTTCCTAGCAGAGATTCTAAAATACTCTCCTCACCCCACACCATTTAGAAATCCTGAAAATCTCTTTGCAAACCCCGAAGATGGGGTGTTTACCATGATAAATCCCCTCTCCCCCCCCCCCCCCCCCAACAACAATCTCATCACTGATGAAAAGTCCTGGAAATCAATATGAAGCCTGGAAGACTCAGTAGAATGTTTACTACAGGAAACACTCTTTCCCCCACCCCCACCCTGTCACTTCTTAGAAGTCCTGGAAATCATAAAGCCCCTTCAGAGACTCATTATATTGTTTACCATATAATGCACTTCCCCCCCCATCATTATTCTGTTTGGAAGTCATGGAGATCAATTAGCCCCCCCTAGGAAGACTAAGTAGATTGTTTAGCATGGTCAGGGTGTTCAATGACCCTCTCAAGAAATTACATCAAGTATGTACAAAATATGTTGCAGTTTGAGTAATTGAAATATCAATAATTCCCCTTGAGTAAGACAACAGGGAAAAAAGGAAAAAGATATGAAATTTGATGGACATGACCTGCTCAACATTGAATAGTTCTCCATATTATTTATATAAACATTTGCTGTTGATGAAAAGATAATAACTAGGAATAGCATTCCACAAAAATATACAGTTATTGACCATCTAACCAAAAATGATCAATTACATCTTGACACAGAAAATATAAATTCTAAAAAATAAAGTCAAAGTACTGCAGCTTATGAAAATTATTTTTCCAATTTTGTTTTATTTAAAAGAACAGACTAGATCATATCTAAGATTACCAATTCAGAATTTATCTGCCAGAGTTTATTATCAGTAATAATATTTTCTTGCATTTATTGCTTGAAATTAGTACAACAACGTCAGTATGACCATTACAACTGACTATACCCTTTTCCGGCAATCACATTTTAGATTAAAAGAATTCCTTTTAGATATGGTCACAGCAATATGGCAATTTTTAATTCTGAAATAATTAGTTTTCATATAAATGTTTTATGAGCATTTTTCCTTCCTTTGGAAATATCATTTATGTATGGATGGCTGCACTTCTAGAATATAATTGAAAAAAAATTGCTCTCAAATTGTAACATTTGCTTTCCTTCTCGTATATGTACATGTAGTTTTTGGCCAGTTTATGTCCATTCCTGAGCATTTTCTACTGCATAGATGATGCAGTTATTAAATGTTGCTTAGTAAATGTTTTTGTCAAGATCAAATTGAATACAAAAACGTGCCAGACTGATAAGTCAGCCAATAGAACAAAGTGAACTTCACTTATCTCACTCATCTCCATAATTTAATAATGGCATAAAGACCATAATGAAAGGAAATGAAAAAGGGGTGTTTCTTTTATTAATCAAACCTTTAGACAACCATCTAAAATTGACAGCAATGATGAATTCTTGTAATGTTCTCTGACTAACAATATTCCACACAAAGATGATCAATTCGTTAAAAAATTCATTCTGATATTATTCATTGCCCACAGGTTCAAACCAACTTTATCAGCAACAGCCCAGTTTAAGACGATAGTTGATTAATAGCTTTCAGATTCGAACCTGATATTCTAGATCTTCCAATGCAAATTTGCATTTTCCAGCTCTTTAATAAGGCTTTGCTCTCAATTTGCTTTGGGATAACAAGCCGAATTTTAAATAATAAATCAGTGAAAAAATGTTTTCGAACTAAAATGTTTTTCAACCTGCAGCTCCACCTGTCAATTTGCCATTTTTAAATAAAATGTTTATCTTAAGATTCAACATCTTGCCGCACAAGCACGCTATTGTTCTACAATTCAAAGAAAGTGTTATTTTCCCTTCGCGGTTACGGTGTTTTCATGCAGGGGGAAGAATGATTGATCGCTGAGAACGTAATCGGAACTGGACTGTAATTTTTACAGAAATATACCATGAACATTTTGTTTTCTGCCCGGCGGCATTTAGCGTTGACACGTCTCCTTTCGATAATTAATTTTCTTTTAAGTTCTTAGGTGCAAGTGATGAAAAGTCGCAAATTGTGATTTCTAGAGTGTAAATAATGTATAAAAATACCATTTACGGTTTAAAAGGAAAATTCGTTGTAAAATACATGCATATTTCATCCATCAAACGCCTAATTAGCTAATGGCGACTTTGGAAACTATCGTAGCTCGGTTGCAAAGTGTATTAAACCACACATGCGAATCAAGACTTCAAACTTTCTCCAGACTTTGTTTGTTTGTACATTCACAGCGACGTTTAATTAAAACATAAATACACTCCTACCTGAAGTGGAATTCAACGAAAACCTGCCGCCCTCGTTCCCGTTAGAAACGAAATACTCCAAAAGTCTCTTATCGTTCGATCTCTGCGTTCGCATTTTGGCTCTGACGAGAGCAACAAAAGTCCCCTTTGCGCTGTTTTCGCGAACACTGACAAGCTGTCGTGGACTGTGGAAAAATGGCCTTTTCTTTCCTCCATTCTGCAGTCTGATTAATAAGTAGGCATTGGAATAAAGCGGTTGTTTTGAGCGGTCGCTTGCCCGCACGTGCAAGTCAAACTGTGACTCCATTTCATTGTTAAAACGAACGATCGATCGTACTTGTCCAGAGTTTTCATCAATTTTAAATTTACCCAGTCCTGAACCTCCGAATACACTATAGGCAATTGCTCCATTGCTACCATAATCAGCGTCAGAAGCTGAAAACGTTGAAACGACGGTACTTTTTCCTGAATTCTCCGAGATTGATACCACCTCAATCGAACGAGAGAAAATTGGCGCGAAATAATTCTCATGAACATCTTGAATTACTATCTCAACTCGGGCGTCTGATTCGTACAAATCTTTAGACTGTTCATCTTGTGCTTTAACTACAAGCGAAAATGAAGTGTGATTTTCAAACTCTAAAGGTTCACGAAGAGTAATGACCCCGCTTCGAGGATTAATGTGGAAAATTATAGCAGGATTGTTAACAATAATATACCGCCACGCTCTCTCATAGTGCAGTGGATGGCCTCCCTGATGGGCATTCACGCGGACTACTGCACCACCAACCGGAAAATCCTCTCTTATTCTCACGAAATATGTGTGTTTTCGAAAGACAGGTGGTGCCGATTCAGCAGAATTAGCTCCAAGCAAAGGGGGGTAGCTTTCTATATCGACAAGGCGAATTCGTACAATAGTTTCTGTTTGTCGAGGAGTTTTTCCTCGATCTACCGCATGCACTCTGAGATCGAATGAATTTCCTTTCTGGAAATTTAGTTCGCAAGCTGTCTCCACAACTCCCGTATGAGCATCCACGGTAAAAAACTCGTGTTCGGGTTTGAAGTAATAATAAATTTCAGCGTTTGTTCCTACGTCGCCATCAAAAGCTTTCACCTGTACTACGGAAGTGCCAATAGGTACGTTCTCGCTGACAGCAACAGAATAAATCGGTGGCTTAAATGTCGGTATCTGATCATTTTCGTCAAGAATGTTGACTCGTATCTGAGTGGTACTTGAGAGTGAAGGAATTCCTCCGTCTTCCACCTTGACGGTTAACACGAAGAACGGGGTTTCTTCTCTATCAATAAGCGCTTTCGTTTTGAGACGCAAAAACTTCACACCATTTAGCTCCTCGACGTCAACATCAAACTTTCCCGCCTCATTTCCACCCACGATGCTATACTTTCGAACAGAGTTTTTACCACTATCCAAGTCACTGGCAAAAACACTTTCAAGACCCTGTACATAAGTTCCAGTTCGACTATTTTCCAACAGGGAACAAGAGTACAACTCGTTTGGAAACTTGGGTGGGTTATCGTTACGATCGAGTATTCGAACGCGTACGATACTTCCAAATCCAACTTCTGTTTTTGAGATTTCCCGCGAAATTACCAGTAAATCGAATTCATTTCCGCGCTCGTCTTCATAATCCAATGTTACTTTAGAAGTAAGCACTCCCTTTGAGTCTATGTAAAACAACCCTAAACCGTCAGCGGTGGAGGAATCTCGATGAAGAGAGTAAACGATGCCCGGTTTGCGTTTCAATTTTAAAACTGCACTGCCAGGCGGCAAACCTTCGTACACTTCAACAGTTTCAAGCGATGTTGAATTCCGGACGAAGAAGGTAATACAAATAAAACCTACCAATAGATGAGTAATTGTCGGGAAGCGTACACATGGTGATATCCTTTTTCGTCTCATAGTCTCCTCAGACAACGGGGATTTACCGCGTGAACGAAAAATATTAGTCCAGCCGCAAGCTCGACAAAAAAAGTTTTCTTCATGAAATCTTAATATCAGTTCGCACACTGTTGCCGCGAGGATTGCGCGTTGACTTTAAACTTGTGTATGATTTCCAAGTCTTCCAATTGAATCACGCGCATTTTAGCGAATGAAACATCTCCGATTTATGTACCTGATCTGACGCGTCGTTTTAAACACTTTCAATCTACTCCTTTATGTGTATAAAGGAGTAGATTGCGCCGATAAGATGGAGACTGCTGTTAATCGCTGCGTGCACGCGCGGGTCCCCTTGTTTCTTCTCAGGTATCTTACCTGCCGATTATTTCAGCTGTTGTAAACAGTGAATATTCTAGTCAAAGCGTCTTGTGAAAGTTTACATACGAAATTATCTATTTGTCGTCGACGCAGGGAAAAGCGCCGAGATTATTGTTGGGCTTGATTGGTTTTTGAACGAGTGTCAATTAATTTTGAAGCTACTTGAAAACCAATGGGAAAGCGCTATTTCTTCACGGACAGCTGTTTCGATTTTTCCAACCTTGACAATGTCATATCTGTAGTTTAATCCTCTGTAACCTACGAGATTCCTCTTTAGATTCTTAGCTGGTCTTCACACACTTCGATGTGGTCTCGATAGCTTTCTTTTTTCGGCATTACTTCGGCAAACAACACGAATTTCAAGTAAACAACCGAAGTTTGTTTAATTGAATTCCAAACAAAGCTTGTAGCATTAAGTACTTGTCAACCACACGCTGTGACAGTGCGTTTTTCAACGAATTAAGAAATTTTCAGATTACAAACTTAGCGATTTAAATAACAACAGTTTTTTACTGTTTTAACAATGCTTGGCCAGGTGCTACGAAAAGTAAGAACACATTGACAGTTAGGTTAACATGCGCTTTGTATTACTTCTAAGAACTGCAAGGTCATAGTTAGGTTTCAACCTGCTAACTGATAAATAAAAAACGCACACTTTTCAAAAACATCTAGAATTCATTGCGTTGCCTTTAATAACAATATTGAGTTTTGTTTTTCAAACTTCAAGAACCTTAACTCTTTTAAGATGGATTTTAGCACCGTTTGACGTAAGAACTAGGTTAATATTGTAACTGCACTTAGTGTTATCACAATAGATCTGAAATGTTTTTATCTGCAAGGAATCAAAGTGACACTAGATGGGCGATAGGTTCATCTCGACTGTTTACGGCCAGGCGATAAATGATTTGGGCAATCGCTCACCTCATCATTATTAAGAACAATGAGGATATTTTTAGTCGGGCAAAATCGAAAATAAAAATTTGTTTCGATGTTTTCTGAATACTTGAATAAACTCGTTCTCCTGCCTCGCTTATTTTCAATCTGTTTAAATCCTGTTCTTCAATGCTACGCATATATATTGGCATAGGCCGCGGAAGTGGCTGCTCTGTACAATCAAAGCACCAATCGAAAAATTCTCCGTGCCTCAACATGCAAAAACTGCTGTAATAATTGGAAAAAGAGAGTTCTCCGTATCTTGGTTAATTTACTAAGAACATCTGATAACACTCCAGATATTTAAGTGTTGAAATTTCCAGCCGGCAAAGAGTTGACTGAAGAAATTCAGCTATTTTGGACTTTCATTATATTTCATCTCTACCGTCTACAAAAACTACTACTTATGGTCTTCACTCGTTTTCATATATGGCTTCAAAACTATGGAACTCTCTTCCGGAGTCTTTTAGAACGTCTGACTTTTCTGATTTCAAGCGCAAGATTCTACAGTATGACTCTTTCTCATAGTTAAATTTTAGAATGTTAAAATTTTGCATTTTACATTTTAGTAGTATTTAGAATTATACTTGTAACTCGAAGATACTATCTTATCCTTAAGCTACTCCAAATTCGAGATTAAATAAAGGATATGTATGTATGTATGTGTGATGTATCTCGCCTTTAATTCAGAAAGTCTGCCCAGGAATTTTCTCCCCATCAAATGGAAAAAGATAACCCTTACAACAGATCCCTGATTGCAAGTTTTCAAGTGGAGAGGTAAAGGGGGGGGGGGATTGAAAAGAATTCGTGAGGGTGAAGCCAACAAAAGGGGGTGTGGGGTGATTGGGCGAAGTCCCAAGCGTACTCCCCCGAAAAATTTTGGTTTCAATTGCCTTTAAAATGACCGCAAATATATTGAGATGACGAGAAAAATATTTTTCATCTTTAAGTTTCAGTGCTGCCCTATGGCAATTGAATTGAAATTGAATTTCATTGAATTTCATTGAATTTTAGTATTGAATATTGCTACAGTTGGCTTGCCCTACTAAACTTAAAGGTGTTTAAATGGTACTTAAAGACTAATTGATATAATCCGTGAAAAAATTGAAAAGAGCTCTATTATGTGATGGATTTATTTTTACGAGAAAAAAAGGATTGAATTCCTCTTTTTCTTGACAAGAAAACTTTCAAAGATAGGGGAAGTCAATTTGCTACCGCAGGACTAAGGACTTAATCAGCGGTAACTCAAATAAGGATACGTTGTTAACTTTTCGCGGGAAATTTATCTTGCCGTAAGATTGAAACGTTTTTGAGAGATTGTGCCGCAAAATACACAAAGGATGGTCCAAATACTGATATCTATGTAAGTTTAGTGTATTCCTTTCTTCGATCGAAGGGTTTTCCGTTTAACAAATTTGTATTTGCAGCGATGATCAGAGTTCATGTTGTAAACAGTGGTTGATTGACCGTTCTTTTTAACTGCATTGAACATTAACTAACGGGAAGTGTTTCATACAGGTCCCCTGGTGTGGATAACTGGACAATAATCGAACTTCAAGGAACTTTAGAGGCAAAAGAAGAAGTTAGTTTAGAAGGGAAAGCTATCGGTGACTTGCATTTCGATGGAAAGGTTGGTGCAACGTGATATGACGTTCGTTCGTTCATGCATTAGTTTGTTTATCTTAGCGGCTTTGTCTTAATGTATTGGCACTACAATCCTACTCTTAGCTTTCCTTTTTTCCCCAAAAATGTTGCTAAGAATTTCAGAGTAAGCGCTGTTATTTTTGGAAGGGTAAGTGAGACATTATGAGAGTGAAAGCGTAATAAAATCATTACACTGATTTCCCCCTTACAGCTTAGGGGACGGTCATTTATTATACGGGGAGGGAGGGGTGGGGAGAACGTTATACTTTTTTTGCACCTATAAATGAGGGACCTCATGAAATTCTGCAAACTTTTCGATTGAACTATACTCACTGTAGAATATTAGCTTCAATGAATATAATTGTCACTGTTTTTAAAACCAATGATAACGGGTATATAAAAACTTACATTCTGGGAAAGCTGTCACATTTACCAGTAACCCTTTAACTTCCAGAGGTGATTCACCAGTAACTTCTCCCTATAATGTCCATACACTATCCAGTTAACAGGTAATGAGAACAATCAGAGGTATCACATAGAAGTTATCAAGATCTAACACCAAATTCTTGTAACTAATATACAAGGGAATGCGTGGCAGCTAAATGGGAGAATTAACAATAAATAATTGGAAATTGGAATGTTGTTTGTTGTGGAGGGAGGAAAACTGGAGGACTCAGAGAAAAATCCTCTGAGCAAGGATTAGAACCAACAACAAACTCAACCCACATATGATGCTAGGTCCAGGAATTGAACTTAGGCCACAATGGTGGGAGGTGAGTGCTCTCACCACTGCACTAGCTGCTATTCCCCAAAATTCAGATTTTGAGAGTTAAGGAGATAAAAAAATAAATTATGACTGGGTTGGCTACAGGAGGGAAGCACTTATTATAAGGGGGTGCCTATTTGAGGAGATATGATAAGTGAAGGATTCATGGAAACCTCTTATTGACTTTTCATAGGGAACACCCATGCTTATCATTGGTCACCAACTTCTCACTGGTAAGGTTGTTGAATTAGACAAACCATATGCTGTGCTACAAAAGAAAACAAGCAATGAGGATGAAAACAATAAGGAAGGTGAAACACACTATGATGTGTGTGCTTTAGTAAAGAAGAAAATTATCTTCAAGACCAGACCAAAGCCAATTGTGTTTAAAAATGTTCCAATAACCAGATGATGTTGGGAATTAACATGGCCACACAAACTCCAGAAAATCATCCATCAGTGACATTGTAATAGGGAATAGATTAATTGACATTAATAATATGAATATATGAAGTTCATATATTTTGAACTGTGGTTATAGATATGTATGATGCACGATCCTCGCAGTAAAGAGCACTATTTATGCAATAGCGAAAATCAGACCTGAAAAAAATCAGGCCTGTACAGGTCTGATTTTTGCTATTGCATAAATAGCGCTCTCTACTGCGAGGATCGTGCATCATACATATTAATAATATTTTGGAATATTACTGGATTCTTTAAAAAGGCTCACATCTGTACTTTTTCAGAACTCAATACCATGTGTGGATCGAATCAATGTCAGCCAAAATAACTTAGTTTTTTTATAGGAAATTTGTACAATGGCATCATTTGACAGCAACCACCAGAATCCCTCAGACTTATATTTTCTTGTGAAGATAGTGCCATCATTAGCTTAACCTCAGTTGTTTATTTAAATTGAAATATAAAAGGAAACCTGAAATGAATTATGGTAGTTATAATCAAATGACACAATCATAGAAGTGTGCCCTCATGTTTGTTAAAATTTGTGTGCGTGCTTATACCTGTAATTGGTACTTGGCAGGAATGCATTGTTAATCCAGTACGCATACATCCCGTTTGGGGGGTGTACTTAGGATTTCAAGTGACAGGGATGATCAAATTGGGGCAAAATTTTAAAAACCTAAAAAAAATACCAAGGGCTTCAAACAAAACCCAAAAAAATACTTTATTCTCAGAACTACACGGCTGGCATGTACAGGAAGTATCACCAATCTTCAGATGGTTTTGAATACCGAAATAAAAAATTTCAAACCCCAACAAATCTTTTGATCATCCTTGTCACTTGAAATACAGAGAACCCCCCACCCTCCCGGGAAAAGGAGGGGTCTCTGGGGGTCTCAGGCTTTTTTGACAAACCCTTCATCTGCCAGGAGTGATTGACAAAGCAAACAGCAAACAGGTAATGAAAATACTCAAACTTATCAGGTAGAAGTTGTTATCCTGATCTAACACCAAATTATCTGAACCAAATAGCAAGGAAATGTCTAATGGCAAGAGGGAAGAATCGACAATCAGATCTGGGAGTTGAAGAATTAAAATAAGTTGTCAAGCATCCTCTTGATTCCTTCCTTATTCAGTTCTTGACCTTAACCCCTCATTCTTAAGATCTGGAAATGTCTTCTCCTTGCTTAACATTTGTGTGGAAGCAAGTACTGAGAATTTGTTAGCAAAAGGAACACCTTCAGTGATCAATTCAGCCTGGCTCAGGGCACAGGTTGTCTCAAGTCTTTAGCTCCCTTGAGTGACCAAGACAGAATTTCTTCTTGCAATATTAATACAATATCAAGTAGACAAGTGACAAGAATAAAAGAAAAGGATAGTTGATCAGATACCAAGTTCTCCACACCAACATCACAAGAATTATATTGCAGACACTAAGTTGAATTTCTAATGAGATCTTGGGGATAAAATGGTTAAGAAGAAATACCTGTTTTTCTGCCCATTTGGTATTTCATTTGTAGGGGGACTGGGGCTAATAGAGGCATTTAAGTATCACAGAGGTCAGTGGTTCGAGTCCCGTACAGGCCTGATTTTTTTCAGGTCTGATTTTTGCTATTGCATAAATAGCGCTATATACTGCGAGGATCGCACATCACACGTATCTAATACCGCAGTTCAAAATATATGAACTTCATATATTCATTGCACCTCAGAGGCATTTAAATACGCCTTTTGGAGTGTAAAGATTAGTATAATCATGTAACCAACAGAAGAAGAGTGCACCAGAATTTTTTACTTTAGTCATAAAAGTGCAAACATTAAACTCTTCCATTTCCTGCGTTGATACCTAGCCTTCTATTTCTTCACTTTTGACCACAAGTTCAAACCACTTGTAAAATTTTAAGCTGACACGTACGCTTGCCATATTTGTAGATTATGGTATATTGGCTGATATACCATAATGGCTACACCAATAAAAAGTCTTGAATTGCATTATCCAATGATATAGTTTTTAATAATAATCAATAGTTCATAATAGTTAATTTTCAATATTTTCAATTACAAAATAACTATTGATTATAAATAAACAAAGGCTTAAACATCATTACATACTAATTCCCCAGATACTCCATATACAAAATTTTACAAAGAAAATTAACAACATCAGGCTGATTTCCCACCAAACATCCATAATCTAACAAAACAATCGCCAGAATTGAAAACATAGGGTTACTTTATGCATGTGTTTACTGTATTTCAAAACTTATATTGATATATTCTATAATAAGTGATTATTAATATATAGGACTTTTTCAAACTCCATTAAAAAGAAACCATTTTCCTTTGAAATATATTACGTATGTGCCATAGTAACATTTGGCCACTTTCCAAATGGTAAATGCCTTATCTTTGTCGTGATTACTGACATCATCATATTTTATGTTACTGTCTGTTGATGCCATAATTGGATGATCTAACTAACTACAATATTATTCTCTCTTGCTGCGTAAAATACGTGGTCTGCCACGTGGTAAACAGCGAGGTGTTACATTTGGTGAGTCACAAGGTGAATTGACCGGAGTGACCTGCAATGACCTTGAAATTGGGGTTCTTTTACTGTTGCACTTTTTGCAGAGGATGTGGTCATCCTGTGGATGGCATGGTCTCTTATTTGAAAGCTGAATCCCACAATCCTGAAAAGATATGAATTAGTACACTGGTAATATAATTATATTTATTATAACAACAATTATTGTTTTTTGCACATTAGCACTTAACAACAAAACTACATCAAAACCATCACTAAAAATCCACATTAAAGTCAAGATAATCATAAAATCAAGTCTTAACTTTTAACTCACAGAAGTGACTAAGACTTAACTTCTCCCTACAAGGTTCATACATTGTTTAGCAAACAGGTGATGAGAATACTCAAACTTATCAGGTAGAGGTTGTTATGTTGATCTAACACTGTATTCGGGTAACTAATTTAAATAGAAAACATGTAGGACCTAGAGGGAAGAATTAACAATCAGATCTTGGAAGTTTAAGAGTTGATAGGGTTCTACTTCTAAATAGAAATATTCATATTGTAAAACTTGTTCATAAAAGTAGTCTGGCTTAGGAGTTAACTGTCCTTCAGCTGATTTGAAACTTTTTACCTTCCTTATAAGCTACCTGCAGGTAAAAAGTGGATTTTTTTCCATTCAAATTTTTCAAGCATACATGACTACAGGATAAAACTACTTTTCACTCTTTGCCAGTATATTTTTTAAATGAAACAGTAGCCTCTGAAACTTTCACAACACTATTAAGTTACTTCTTTACTGAATTACCTCACATCTAAAACAATCAATATGAAAATCTTTTCCCATTGAAACAACTCTCAGGGTTTCCTTTGACCCCTGCAACAAGAAAAGTTGGCCAATAATGATCTACAGTTTTCAACAAGACTTTATTATCAAAACAGATCATTTATTTTAATGCTTTAAACACGAAGGCGTGCTATAAAAGGAGCCTTAGGTCCCACTGGATCATTTGTCNCCATGCTGGTGGAAGTAAACAATAGATATCTCATTAGCTCCTTTTGTTCGTCTACCAGCATTTAAATTTGACCCGCACACATCAACGGTGAGTGACAAATGAGCCTTGTTCTTCCCAGGGAAGACTTCCTGATATAGCGCGTCTTCGTGTTAAAGCTGATGCATCCTGGTAACTAACCTTTGTAGGTGCAATTAGCTTTTTGCAAACTGCACAGGTCGGTACAAATTTTCTGTTAAAAAAGGAAGAAAAATTATAGATATGTGGTTAAACAACTTATTGAAATAGAAACCTGTTTACACTTTTTATTTGTAATATCATTTATGTTGAGTCCTGACAGGGATTTTTCCCATGTTGAAGACAAATGTTTGACATTTTTTTTAAAAGAAATATCAAGTTACTGGAAACTTCAAGGTATTCACCTTGGATCATTTTTACTGTGGGTACTCTTGACCAATATATCAACCAATGTATCGGTAGAGAGTCGGTGGATACTAGACTAAATTTTGGTTGACACTCAGTTAACACTCGGTTGACACTCAGTCGACACATGGTGGATAGTCGGCTGATAGTTGGCCAATACTCTGTTGATAGTTGGCTTAGATACACAGTTGAGACTAAGTTGATAGTTAGTGGATATATCGGTCTATATTTAGTTCTTATTAACCAAGTGGGAGGTCTGTATGGGAGAATCTTGACCGAGGTCGCCAGTACAGACTGAACGCAGTGAGGTATGTACCAGTGACCTTGGTCAAGATTCTCCCATACAGACCCACCTTAAGCTCGGTTAATAAGATGTTTATTATATGGCTGTGTCTGGTATGCCAATTTTTTATATTCTTCGTACCTTTTTTTTCTTGACCAGTCATGCCGGTCTAGATGGGAAAATCTAGACCCCTTTCAATAGTGATTTCAGCCAATCAAATTCGTGAATTCGGTAGTTCCCAGTCATTGTGAGACACAGCCATATAATAATATTGACTATTGACCGAGTCTTAAAGAGCATCAGCCAACTATTGACTGAGTATCGGCCCGCCATCAACCAAGTGTCAACTGACTCAGTATCAACCGGGTGTGGACAGAGTGTCGACCGAGTGTCAACAGACATATCAGTTGAGTATTGATCAACTCTTGACTGATATATTGACCAATATATTGACTGACATATCGGTTGAGAGTATTTACAATAAACATAATCCATCTTTACAAGAAATCTCTGTTGTTACCTCTGATAATCAGGAATGCAGTATATTCTATTGTCTTGATCCCATGTAAAGGGAATTCCGTCTAATTCTGTATGACAGACAGAACATCTGAAGCATGATGGGTGATATGACCTACCCAGTGCTTGGATGATCTGTATGGTTGCAAGTATGAAAACAGTGAAAAACTCCAAATGTTGCCTGTAGAAAAGCCTTGAGTGGCCTCTGTTAGAGTGCTAGATTTATCTTCCAAATTTTCTCAAAGTTATGTTTAACCCTATTAGAATTTGGAGTTGCAATTATTGTTGATGGGATTGATGGAATAACCAAATATTAGTTTTGTCCATTTCAAAAGCTTTTAGTTTTATAATAAAATTAAAATTTTATTAATGGGAAGACATGCTACAAAAATAAATGGCAATTGGATGCCTAAGTACCCCCCCTCCCACTATGCCATGGACCAGACACCAGAAGATTACCAGTGTCACAACTGAATTTCTAAGTTCAATTACAGAACTTAAAAATGAATATACATGAATCAACCTTCTTGAAAGTTAAAGTGATGGGGGAAAAATGTCCTCAATGTCTATGGGATAATAGCAATTAAGATGATGGTCGGAAAAAGTGAATCAAACTGGAAACTGATTGAAATATGCAAAATAATAATATTATGTTTATTGTATGAGCAAGAGTTAGTATTTTCAGGGTATCTGATACTCATGAGCAAACAGCAAAGCAAACAGGACAATGAGAGGACAATGAGTAAAGAATTATTTCAACACCTGCAAATAGTCAGTATGTGGTAACTCACCTTTAGCTTAATAATTTTTCCACAAATATCACAGTAGTTAGGACAAAAACCAAGATTCTGAAAATTAAAAAACATTATGGTTTAAGTCTGCCTTTTAAGTATATCTGAGTACTTCTTAATACATGTTTGTTTTCTTAATGATAATATACATTGAAAATTTTCAGTTTGCCCATTGGCTAAGAGTATGTCAGTTAATAATTTCCAACAGCGCAGAAAACTGACATTGAAAGTTGAATGGTATCTTCTGAAATTTGGAATGTGTAAGTATTTGAAAAATTGTCAGAGTACAAAATTTACTTGCGCTGTGGGCCCTTTAAGTCCCTAGAGTGATTAGCATCCAAATTCTCCTTACAGTATCATTGCCAAATAAAAACTATGGTCATGAGAATAAAGGAAATGATCACCAACTATAGAAGTTCTTGACAGGTGAACAAGTTCCCTATGTTGACACCATACGGCCTCCTGGTTAATTAGCTCAATTGGTAGAGCGCCAGACTGTTGTGCGCGAGGTTGAGGGTTCAAGCCCCAGCCAGACCAACACTCAGGGTCTTAAAATAACTGAGGAAAATTTGCTACCTTTCTATAATATCAAGAAATGGATAGATACTCTAGTCTTCTCGGATAGGGACGAATAAACCATAGGGTCCATCTCCTGCAGGGTTAAGGGTAGGAGATGTTAATTTCCCACGCACAAGATTATTGTGTGGTGGATGTCCTCCCCTGGGGTGGGATGGTTGGGTTTACTGGGCCCGCAGTAATTGGCGTAAGCTGTTGCAGTGTCCCTGCCTGTCGGTGAATCTAATAAATTAAATTAAATGTATACGGAACAGTGTGGAGAATATGTATGTCCATGTTAGGGCGTAGAGGGTGAAGTCTTTCCATTTATGCATGCTTATTTATTCCAAATGGCATTCAAAATCAGTCTATTGACTAACATAAAAATCTACTTTATCAGTCCATTGACTAACATAAAAATCTACTTTATTGTCAATAGCCTTATTTTGGAGGTTGAAAACTAAGCACCAAAATGCCTTTTGGCCACAATAGCCCCCTTGCAGTAATATAGAAAAAAATATGAACAAAAAAGAAAATTTTATCATGGAAGAAATTTTTCATCAAGTTTTTTTGCCCAGAATTTTAAAGTTTAATCATTTATGCAGTTCTTTAAAAGTGCATGCTGTTAATTCAGGCAAGGAAGACATACAGCAATGTTACAAACCTTATAATCCTGTTCACAGTAAATCTTCCCATTAACATTGTAAAATATTTGACCAATCAACTGGTTTCCTGAGAGAGGGAGTATGAAAGATATTTTCAAAACCAAAGCAATCATTAATTGTAGCACCTTTGCCTATATACATGCAAAATCCCAAAAAATGGCTTAAAAATTTATTGGGAAATTCTTCAAATACTGTTCACGAATCTCATTTTTATATCTCTACAAATGTCCAATTTTTCTAGAAATCCACCTAGACATAGTTTGCATAAAATGTGAGGTTACTGTGGTGAAAATGCATGGAAGCACCTTCAAACTGATTTCAAATGATCATTTTTTTACTATCTAGCCCAAGTAGCACCAGTAGAGAACAAAAATACAGCTGGTGTGAGAGGTAGATGTCAACTAAAGGGAGAATGCAACTACTTCTGACAGGCTTTGACATGAAACAATCCAACAAGAAAACTCTTTTTAGCACTTTTAAATTAATTGCAAAATATTTGAACAAATCACTGCTTCTGTACAGTAAAAACCCACATACAAGAACACCCATTTTAGGGGTTCAGGCTGATTGGTTTCTTACATATCGGGTAATTTAGGTGAAATCAGCCTGAAAGTGTTCTCAAGTGTTGTTAATTTTTTACTTCTTAAAAATTGTAAGGGATTTACTAACTGATGAAATACATAACTTATAATTGTAATTATAAGACTTTTAATTCCAAATGCGGTAACGTTGTTGTACATTTCCTATACACAGCAAGTGAAATTACTAGCATTTATACAGAGATCTTAGTGCAATACCACAGTAAAGCTACAGACACTGTTTTATTAAACTGCATGAAAAGGGAAGAGTTTTTATATATAAGAGCAATTTTCAGGCTGAATGTGTTCTTATACTGATATATGCTCCTTTTTTACCAAATTTCAGCCTGGGTGTTCTTAATCTGCATGTTCTTGTATGCGGGTTTTTACTGTATTTGTACCCTTTCTTTGACTCTACCTCATAAAGTGGGGAAAGGAATTTTGTTTTGAGGTGTGGTGAACTTAAAAATGCATATTTGTGGTTGCAGATTGCAAATAATATTGAAAATTTCTGACACAAAATTTCCCCAAGGTAATTAGGAAATTATGCCTTGAAGAATCATCTTACCACAAGAGCAACAAAGGAAACAATGAACATGGTATAGATTTTCCATAGCATGACAAGCTGATTCACAGCCATTTATTTGTTGCTTACAGTTGTGACACACACCTGTAAAGAAAAAAATTAATTTTTTCATTATTGTCACCTGGTGAGATTTGTCTAAATGGGGCATAATGCTATGCAGTGGATAAATCTCTCTATCCAGTAGATAGTACAGCACACTTTGTTAACACTTGTCTCCTCAGTGGAAAGCAAATCATCCTTTGGATAACTTTATCCCCCATAAGAACAACAACCCCAAGGCCCTGGCCTCCTTTCTTGATATCATTCCCAGGGCTCTCAATCCACATTACTTTATGGTTACATTTCTTATGATCATAGGACCAAGTAGTATGATAAAAAAAAAGTAATATTGTGTTTTCAATTGCCATTGGTATTACAAAAAATAAACCATCTCCATGCCTGCTTGAACCCACATATATAAGAATAGCTAGCATCTAGTTTCTCTTTACAACGATTCACTCTCATCCCCTCCTTTCAACGGTAACAGGGTTGGTGTATGTTTCCCCTCCCCAAACTACTACCCAATAAGGTATCGATTTTAGAAATCCTGATGAAAAACTGAGTATCGAGTATTCCTTTATAGGGAAATTTCATAAAATGAAGTAAAACATGTGTTAGAGGGTGTGAAAGCTTTGAATTTTTGGCAGATTTGAAATACTTCATGGAGAATTTGCCCAACAAAATGTGCTAACAAGCAATCTATTGCACCTTGTGTCGTATGCCATATCTATCATAGGGACATTGCAGGAATGAATTTATGACATCATTAAAATTTATGGAAATAGATCTCATCATTTTGTGCACAAATACTTGAAAAAATATTAGGTCCAAATTGTTTAAATTGTATGACATATTTGAAGAAATAAGGCATCCTGTGTTTTCATCGAAAATGATACATGAAGGACATTACATGCCCAATTTAGAATGACAGAAAACTGTTATTGCAACTAGCAGCTTTAATATATTTGAATTTGCAACTCTAAATATACTGCATATTGGCAACATGTCTTTGAAAGAACATCAATTTCATGTGAGGGATGTTAGATATGACATTTTGACAGACTGATGTACTTCCTCTCTCAAATCTGGTAAAGAACAAACTCATGAAACCTCCACAAATCCCAAATTTAGTACACATACACATTAAGAAATTTGAATTATGGCATTTTAGAAGGTGCAAATATGTCACCTCTGGTTGTATAAATACAAGCACAATGTGATAGTGTTATTGTGTTGTATCTGGTAGAAGATAATTACGTTAACCACATAACACTGGAGGGAGTGGTATGAGCTATTATTCACAAAAATCTGAAGCCAGAAGAAAATCCAGTGGAAAAATACTCCTCAGTGTTTTATGCTGATCTGATTACAGACTCATTGTGTTTCCATCAGTGAACACAATTCATAACAAGTTATACAATGATACACTTTCTAGTGATGTTACCTGAAAATTGGCAGTTGGAGTTGTTGTGTTCCATTTTGAAGTTTATGAAAATATTTATCAGAGTCTATAGAATTTGCAATTTCAATTTCAACCACGAGACAGAAATAAGCAGACAGGACTTGAAGTCATAGTGACCCCAATTTAACCTCTTTTTGAGAAATTAGACACACCTGATGAGATTAAAATTAATCTAAACACTCATTGGTTTTACTTCAAGGGACAGAGAGAGCCATCTCTAATGGTATATGGCAATTTTAAAGGCCAATGTAATATGAAATTTAGAGAGGTCACAAGAGAAATACAAAACTGATCATTTTTGGAAAATGCTTACAACCACAAAAAGGCAAAATGTCAGACCAATGAATCTGACAAAAGAGGGTATTTTCTGTTGATGCTGTGTAATTTACAAATACCATACTCAGTTAACAAAACATACAAGGGTTGATTGTGAGTGTGAGTACATAATTAGCACAACATACCTCAAGCATTCTTTTCTTGAGGATTATTGCATTCAAACAGAAACTAATCACTAGATGAAGAACATTCCTGCAATTCTTGGCCAGATTTTGAAGCTAAATTGTTGAAAAACACCCATCAAGAGGCAAGTGGTTATTAAAAGCAAAAACAGAATGACAGTGTGTCATTCAGATTTAAAAAGCATTGCCCTTACAACTCAAAATACCTTAAACAAATTTGCTGAAATGTCAGCATGCTTCTAATTTGCCCTCCGGGGCAACAAAAGGTTATCTACAATATACATGTCAATTAACCAACTCAACTGACAGACAAGGAATTTAAGGAATTCAAACATTCAATTATCTCAAACAAAGCATGAATTTACACAAGTAAAGAATGTTTCCAAACAAAGCACTGAGACAAATGTGATTGCAAACAAACTGTGTGCTTAACCAGCAAATACTCAGTGTTATTTCAATTTGGGAAAACTATTACAGGTTTTGGTAATACTAAACTGTATCTGTTATCAAGCTATATGTGAAAATAACTACTCTATTAGTACAACATACTGTCAGTTTGAAGTTTCAATTAGGATGAACCCCGACACCTTTTCACACAGGACACACTCCCTTTAAAACAATAATATTTACAATCCTAAAGTTACAAGAAGAATTGCGCCAAAGTTTTAGTTTGTCCATACTAAAGACAAAAGAAAACTCTTTGGTTTCCCAATATTGTTTGCGTGTCTTCCCCTAAACAAAAAACAAACCAATCCTTTTAATTTGCACTTGTCTTAAAAAAACAGGTGAATGGAATTGGTTTTCCAAAATTGCAATCAAAATAAAAATGAATAAATATTGAAGTTCCTTGTTAAGCTCACAGCGTTCACGCATTTGGCATGAAAAATGAACCATGACCGCTGGATACAAGGAAAAAGACAGTTTCCTTTTTTTAACCGTTTCACTCCAACGATCAAAATGTTAATTTTTCTCACTGTCTAAAATATATTTCTGGTAATTTTAGCTCTAAGAATTTGGCGTTAATCAAGCAACATCTTCTACTTTATATTTTCTTATCGAAATTGCTGTACCCTCCTCACAAGGGAAAAAGAGAGTGGTGTTCCACGACTTGCCAAAAGAACAGCTGTGAAGAAGACAAAGATTAGAGCTCCCATGGTTATGGCGGTTCATTTTGTTATTCAAATGTGCCAACAGATAATCAAAAGGCCTTACTGTTTAGCATCTGCACTTGTCCTTTCATCGGGAACGTCAATGCAAAGCCTTAGTTCTATACTGGTTAAAAAAGCTTTTCGTGTCTTGAAAATGTATTTATACTTCACTTGATCTGATCTCGTTCTTTCAGTGTAAGAATACCTCAAGTATGAAAACAAAATTGATTTTCGTAACTACACACCTACTGAATCTTTCCCTTTTCTTTTTCTAGACGTTGTGAAGTCACCCTGTGGTGAAATAAATATATCCTCTCGGACGTTTTGTTGTGTAGTATCGCTGCGTCTTTTCTACGAATTGTACCGTATTTTAAGCCCGCAGGGCTCGTCAAAATACAAATAACGAATAAAAATACTCAGCGAAACTACACAACAAAACGTCTAATAAGATCTATTCCTTCAACCGTCTCTTCCGCTCCGAAATTCCTCCATTCCAAATTCTTCCGACGAATTCTTCTCGGATATCGTCGGAGGTCGTTGCTGAACGTCGCCGTAAACTCGATGATAGTATCGAGCCTGTACTACCACAACATTGATCAGCGGATTTTCACATGAGTCAATTCAAGATGGCGGCTTACCAAGATCTCGTCGCACCACACAAAGACTTGCCCGTAGGTTTCTTTTTTACCGGAAATAATGTCACTATTTGCCTCCTGCATAGTAGCAATAGCAGTTATTATCTAGGCTGAGTACATTCAGGGTGATTCCGTTGGGGTGTCTTGCACATCAATCAATAAGTTGGTTGATCTGATTACGTACTGTTTAGGCAGACGACTGAAATTATTAATGTTACGCTCGCCCCCTGATTAATCTGCCTCGACAAGCGGACTGCTAGTGAGTCTGCCTTTTCATGCTAATTAATTTTCCAGTCACCTGTTAAAAATCTCCTACCTCAACTGTGTCGATAAATTTTGGGAATAAATTACTTCTGGTAGCAACTGTGCAAGTGAGCCATAAATTAAAACTTTCGTTAAATACTCCAAAAGTTTACTTACCAGGGAACATTTATCCTTCTAGGCTACAGTCATGGCTGTGGATTGCACGGGCCAGTTTTCTGTTTTAGGATCGTAAGTAACTTTTTCCAATGGTTGATATTTTGCGGTTCTTCCTTACAGCCCTTGGCGTTTTTGTGTTTTGCATGTTTCGTTCAGTTTGTGATCGCACATGTGCTTTAAATGCACCAAAACATTTAAATGCTCTCTCACTTAGCAATCTTGTTTTAAGATTGCAGAGGTAGAATGATGGATAATAAATTCAAAGTAAATCATAAAAGAAACATTATTTACAAGCTTTGTGTACAAATGTCAAAATTTGCGATCACTGAAGAAATCAGTCACCAATCATTTATTATAATTATTTGAGTTGATGCAGGGCCCCTCTTGATACCAATATTACTGCTGAATACCACCCTGCTTTCACAGGGTTGTCATGAAGCTTTCATGGAGTTTGCCTTAAATTTAATCATCAAGTTACAAAATACATAGTCAGTCTGGATAAAAAAGTAAAAATCAAAAAGAGGAAAAAAGAGAGAAGAGATCTAATTTTTCCATAGATTTCAAAAGTGTCTTTTATGTGTTTTCGCACAGACGTAAAGGTTTAGCATTCATTGACCTTAATGCTCCTCACACGATCACTAAAAAGGTTTCGAGGAACAGCAAATGGGAATGTGGTGCTGTGGAATGGAATCCTCATTTAACACATGCTCACATATTTGCCTATGCAGTGAGTGTTCTCTTTTTTGTATACAGTAATTTTGACCATTATTATATCTGTATTTATACATTATATTATTATTATTATTACTGGTATTATTATTATTATAACTAATGATAAAAGATTCTGAATATTATATGAATACTATTGAGTTTTTTTTATATTGTATTTATGCAATGATTTATTTCATTTTTTAGTTAAAAGATTAAGTTACCCTCTGCTTTCTGAAATTTATTGTTGTACCTGCAGTCCAACCAAAAAACAGAGATTTGGTCGTGGAGAGATGGCAATAATGCACAACAACACATTCTAAGGGGTCACACAAGATCAATAAGGTACCTGCCTTTTGTTTCTTTGAATTCACTCTTTGTTCCAGACTTATTAACAATATCAATATTTATCTTTGTAAGAAAAGATCTAAGACAATTAAAATGAAAGTAAATGGCAAAAAAATTCATTTTAACTGCACTGTTTTGAGTTAAAGCAGTTTTGGACCTAGAGTGATGGTGTTGGACCTAGAGGGAGGGTCTGTGGGTTGGCCTGCGACCTCCTTCTTCCATGTTACTACACAATTTGAAGTATTTGATATTTACTTGCCTTGTAACATTCCAGAATTTATCTTGGCTACAGAGTAAAAAACAAGTTTCACTGCTTTCTGAATCAAAATTTTGACTCACCTGTTAAGTCTTAGAGGAATGCTTTAAGCTGTTGAAATTTTGAAAATTCTACGCAATTATTAGGTGTATTAAGAGGACCTACCTGCAGTAAATTTTACCAGTTACCACTTGAAATGGAGAGCACTGAAGAACTAATTGATTTGTTTGATTCTAGTGACTTGAACTGGTCATGGTTTGACCCTCAGCTTCTTGCCACTTGCTCAATGGACCAGTTTATTTATATTTGGGACTTGAGGTACGGCAGTGTTTGTGATTATGGAACTACATGTGAGAATATTAGATAATCACCTTAAAGATAAGTTAGTCTGCTCTCTTAGTGACTTGACCTTTTAACTCCCATGAGTGATCAAGAAAGAATTTTTCCTTACAATATCAATACAGTGTCAAGCAGATAGTTGATGAGAGTGAAGAAAAATATCAATTAGGGGATTGTTAGTTGATCTAATACCAAATTCTCCAAACAAACATCAGAAGAATTGTATAACAGACAGTAAGGAGAGTTACTAATGAGATTTTAGGGGTAAAAAATGTATGAGACGTTGTAGAGCTGTTATCCCATTTATGTAGCCCTTTCACTGTTTTAAGGCAAGTTGTTGCATGTATTTGCCCTTCTGTACTGTTTACAGGGACGCAAAAAAGCCAGCCAGCTCACTTCAGGCCATTGGTATGTGTAGACTAGATAATTATGTCATCTTGAAAATATTTCAGTTATAATTGACAGTACTTTGATTATTATTATTATAGAATGATTAGATCGTAGAGAAGAGTTATTTACCTTGAAGAATTTGTTAACTTTAACTGGATTAATTTTCATCAGAGATTTATTAATGTCATTTCATGTCAGTTGGAGCTTCTCAAGTCAAATGGAACAGAGTAAATCGACATGTGCTTGCCACCAGCCATGAGGGAGATGTGAGAATCTGGGATCTTAGGGTACTGATATTTCATTGACGATAATGTGTCTTTCCCTCACCCAATTTTCAGAGGATAAATCCCCATTGATATGATGTTGGTTGGCCTGCAAATGTTTTTTTATCACAACATGCGAACAGTCATGAGAAGAACTGTTCTAATGGGGACAATGACTTCCATAACATTAAAGAGGGTGTGTTCATTCATTGTGGTAAAATAAACAGTGTACCCCCAACTGCTGGTAAATAACTGTTCCATATGACACTCTGCTAAATTAAACTGAGTTGTAACTTCAATTTCACCACAAAAAATAAACTAAAGTAATAGCATTTACATACTGTGTAATTATTGTTGATGATATTTAACAACTAAGTGGTCTTTGGAAGCAGACTAATTATCAGTTGCATCATTTTTATAGAAAGGTAACACCCCTGTGGTGTATGTCACAGCCCACCTTTCTAAGATTCATGGATTAGATTGGTCTCGCTCCAGTGGAACAACACTCGCAACCTGCAGCAATGACACTTTTGTCAAGGTCAGTCTTAAAGTTGTGTTAATTTTGCAATAGGTCCCTTTCCATGAACAATCATGTGCTCAAATGTCAATTGTTTGAATTAAAGAGCATTGTCACATTTATAAGTGGAGTTGGTCCCACCAGAAAACTTAAGCCTAAATTTTTTGCAATCCATGTAAATCTTCACTTTGGTCAGTCCTCAACCCTCTGGTGACAAGGGTCTAATTTTGCCCCAGCCTATAGTATCACTTCATAATCAAACATCAAGAGCAGCTCTTGATTTTTAAATAAAATGTCCTTCACCATACCATGGGAAACATATGAAGAACAATATCGAGAATGCGCATACTGATGGTATGGTGTAAAGAGTTAACTGTCCTGTTTTGTTTTTGATTTGTTGTATATTTTTATTTATACCTTTTTGGTGTTCAAAGTTTTTTCATCTGTAAAAGGAATTCCTTGTGGTATTTTAAACATACTCGATTAACAAATGGTAAACACCACAGCGTACACTATTGAGTTATGGATGCACACGGGAGGTTGCTAAGCACTAAAGAAGCTTAAGAGTCGCTCGAGGCAATAGCCGAGAGCTACTCTAGCTTCTTGAGTGCTTAGCAAACCTCCCAAGTGCATCCATAACTGAATAGTGTACGCTGTGGGGTTTACCATTTGTTTTATAACATAACATTGATACATTGTAGCTAAAGAGTTCCCTTTTATTTAATAAATCTTACGTGACCAGAAAAAACAAGCGCGCGCGGAAACATAGTCTTTGCATTTGCTCACGTCAGCAGCGTACACCCATGGGCAAATGGGGGATGCTAAATTGACCAATCAGAGCGTGCGCTTTACTTTGGTTATGTTATAAAATGCTTTGGCGTAGCTCCATTAAACCTTTGAGACAGTTGTTCACATCTGAAGTTTTTTCTTCTTCTCAGTTGTGGAATACAGAAAACCCTCGGCAACCAGAATACCAGCTGAAGGCAAATTCCCCTGTCTGGCGGGCCAGATTCACAGTAAGGGCTGCAGTCAATTTTTCAAATTTTTTTGTGGAAAAATCTTGTTGTCATGAAATAAATGTCATATAGATTCTTGGAACAACACAGTACTGTGTTTACCTGTGTGTATAATACACAGTTTATTTCTATAAAAATAACCATGAAAATCAGGGTTCCAAAGATGATATGGCTTACAATTTGACAGAGGACAATATAAATAATCGTGAACTTGATTTCGACCAACTTTTTCAGAGTATGAATTCAAAGGTTTTTTCATGTAGAAACTCTTTTTTTTCCAAGGCTGTTTGTTATCATTTTCAACTTTTTGTAATAAGTTGGCTATCAGGAGTATACAAGTAATTTCAAAGTTTTTGTAATATAGGTATGGTTATCTCAATAAATATTGTAGGAAGCATTGACATGTTTTTTTCTGTGAAAACTTTTTTTTATGAAAATATTAGGGTAAATACAGTATATGGCTACACATTCCAGCATTACTGCCAGAGTGAACTACAGAAAAAATACTCCGTGTGATAAATAGTCAATCTGTCACTGAAGGGTCACTACATCTCGAATGCACTTGTCATCAAGAAAAGAGAAACAATCTTTCCACCAATTAGTACTCTATTGTCTTTTTGAGACAGTCCCCTTTTCAATGATTGTTGGAATGATACAATTTACAGATATCCACCTAAAGCAACATTAGAGTCAGAGGGGATGCATTTTAATCACAATTACTATAATCCTGTACAAAAGTCAGAAAAGTCTGCTGATCTTTTTAGATGTACTCTTTAAACCCTGTGAGCTAGAAGGGGGAGCCAACTTAATTTGCATGTCAAAATCACTGGAAATTAATATAGAAAATATTGCTTTGTCTGTCAATTAAAGTTTTTTCAATTTCTTTCCAGCCATTTGGTGAAGGCCTTGTAACTGTCACTGTCCCTCCACTGAGGCGAGGAGAAAATAGCTTATCTTTGTGGAATATACTGAACATCAGCTCACCCGTGCCATCCCCAGTGAATACATTTGTTGGTCACAGTGATGTTGTTTTGGAATTCCAGTGGAGATCTCAAATAATGGAAGGTGAAACTATTATGGGAAGAGCTGTGATAGGGAGGGAGGAATACACAAAATACCTTCTGGACAGGACTCACATGTCATTCTTTTCTTTTAATGTGTTAGAAATAACTTTGTTTGTAGTCCAAAGTGGTATTTAGACTAGTATTGCTGCCATTCTCTATAAATTGTTTCTATCCCCTAAATGCCAATGCATGACATGAGTGATTTCTACCCCAGATGAGGAACAGTTTCAACTCATCACCTGGGCCAAAGACCAAACCTTGCGAATGTGGGCAATGGAGTCTAAATGGATCATGGTAAGATTAAAAAAAAATATGTAGCTTAGTTGAGATATCATGAATTTTTCGATATCCAATCAAGAGTTGTTCCACTTCACTCACTAATAGGCCTGTAGTGGAGATGTTACAGCCAATTTTCCTTCTGAAACCACGGGCACAACAAGTCCCACCATGTGCGACGACTTGATTGAATCCGCCATATCAGAGTCTGTTATTATTGGTTCGGCTGACGTGATCCCTGTCATGGCTGCACAACCACACACTTTACAGCAGGAGTTTGCGCTTATTAACGTTAACTATCCAAATGTAATTGTTGAACAGGTGAGTGTAAATCCCACCAGCTCTTGAACGTTAAAACTGATAGAGCTATTTCCGATAAGAGTTGTGAAACCAAAGTGATCGCCTCGGCCAATCAGAGGAAAGGAAACTTCCTTTATGAGCCATTGAGAACTCAGAGTAAATCGACCAAACTGCCCAAAGCGCGGGAAAACGCAGCAAAGCGCAGGCGACCAAGTCGTGATTAGTCGTGATTGGTTTTAGGTTTGCTTGGTTTGCACCTGATTGATTAAAAGAGTGGCGCGAGTTTTCAGGACCAATCATAAAGCGAAGTAAAGCAAAACCAAGATTACTTTCGATACTTATTGAAACCTGCCCTAAACATGTAATTTTCTCCTGACTATATCAATACACATCCATATCTTTCCAAATACTCTTGCCTTACTCATAAGGATGTAGAAAGAGGTTGCGAGGGAAAGTTACTTGTTAGCATATGGGAGTTTAAGGGTTCATTTGATTTTTTTTTTTTTTTAAAGAGAGACAATGAGATTAAAGTGTCTTTCCTAAGGACGCAACTTAACAAACTGACCAGGGCTCGAACTAAAACCTCTCGATATAGAAAGCTCACCTCCTGACCATCGCGTTTCCTGTCTTGTGAACGAGGCTGTTCAGTCAAGGTGATTGTTCTTTGTTTTCAGATGGACGCTGGACACAGGAGCTGTACGGTGAACGTTACCAATGGCCGTAATGTTGTATCGTTATTAATAAACTTCCCAGCTCACTATCCCAATAATGCCATACCATCATTTGAGTTTACGCCTGACTCCTCCATTGACCTCAGTACTAAAACCAAGCTAATGAAGGTAAGCTGGGATATCAAGGAAGAAATTCTCTGTTATGACTGTTGCATATTCTGTATCATAACACGTGAGAAAGCTTTGTTTTGAAGGAGATAGATCGCAGATATACTTGAAGTGTCTCTAACT